TTACGGTGGGCTGCTGTTACCTGTACCACGCCTGTCCCACATGGGGCCCATGACTGCATGTCGACCTAGCATTCTCGTTTGCTCAACCCTGGCTGATCGACCACGCACGCGGCACGTCAGGTCCAGACAGGCTAGTGTCCGCATTTTGATTGTAAGTCGGGATAAATCTCAGTGATATCTTGGCTCAATTTCCGTTTAGGTCGCAGAGGGGCCCCACAGAACCACATGTATGGCATCAGAACGTCTCGGTCGTTATGGTCACCTAAGGTGGATACTGAGAGTGCTTCCTGGTGATTCGCGGTCGACTATCAATCTCTTTTATACTGCGTGGCCAATGCCATAAATCAGGCTCATCCAAAATCACCCACTTGCAACAGTGCAATATGGCAGCTCCGAGCGCTTCAGCGATTTCGACGTTGCACCCGCAAGCAAGTGCAGATGAGGCGACTCTCGCCAAGCTAGGATATAAGCAGGAATTTCGCAGGGAATTCACTCCGCTAGAGGTGAACTTGATTTCAGACTCTTCTATGTACGCGACACAAGCTAACAATTGCAGGTGGCTGGACTTGCATTCAGCTTTGTTGGAGTGGTTCCTTCTATAGCGTAAGCTGTCACTATGGCGCAAGCCAATCGAAATTATATATCAATGACGAAAAATTGTTCAGCTCCGTGCTCTTCTATGCAATACCAAACGGTGGGCCTGTCGCGATGGTTTGGGGTGTAAGCTTTCATCACACGTGGAGATTGCTGTTTTGTAACGTCTCACGTTTCCTCTGCGCAGTGGGCATTTGCTTGCCCCTTTATTATGTGCACCGGGTTGGCGTTGGCAGAGCTCGCATCAGCAGCACCTACTTCTGGCGGCGTACGTCATCGACACTGTCACTGTTTCACACTTGACTCAACATAATCTAGCTATACTATTGGACTTACTCTCTCGCTTCTCCACGATGCCGCAATTTTCTGTCGTGGATAGTTGGCTGTAAGTCCTACATTTTGACGCGACATGCAGCCAGTTCTGACATCTGCAGATTCGAATACCATAGAGATGATCACGGGAGTTGGTAAGACGGGCTTCATTTTTTCAACAGTCTCCCCCTGATCACGTGTGCTAGCTTCCGTAAACTGGGCCTGTGCGATTCAAATTACTGCAGCAATCAGTATCGCCTCCTCTGGCCAGACATATACGACTACCAACCAGCAGCTCTAGTAAGCTCATTCCCATACAGACACGACACTCCTCATATTGGTTTTTATAGTGGTATATACGCAGCTTTGGGTTTGTCACAAGCTGTCCTCGTGAGTTTCGGTACCAAAGTTTTGGCAAGGTTGCAGAGACTATTCACGTTGGTGAATGCATGGTAGGTGTTGTGGAGTTGGTCCACGATCATTGTTTCAAATCCTCCAATAGCCTTTGCTTCATAATCATCATTGCGCTTCCGATCGCAACGCCACCGGATTATCGAAACAGCGCGAATTTTGCGCTAGGGGGTTTCACTAACTGTATGTTTCATCGTCAAATTACGCTCGTAGCTCACAATTAGTTGTAGTGGCCGGCTGGCCATCCGGATTCGCATTTATTTTGAGCTTGATGGCTCCTCTGTATACAATAGGTTAGACCATATTCTCTCGAATCATTGTTCCATGACCATCTTTAACCCACCAGGGGGTTATGATGCTAGCGTTCACATGAGCGAGGAGGCCTCAAATGCCGCTATGGCGATACCATGGGCAATAGTAAGTGACATTAAAAATGACCAATTGCTGTATTTATCTCAGTCAGGTCAGTTCCATTATTGTATCAGCCGTCCTTGGTTTGGGTATGTGGAATGAATGACATGCCATTTTGATCTTGATGACACATTCTAATATAGGAGTCAACATCTCCCTTGCATTTTGCATGGGCACTGATGTCGGCAGCGTCTTCAATAGCCCTATTGGCCAGCCTATGGCACAAATCCTATTCAATTCGCTCGGGCAGCAAAAGGCCCTGGCTCTATGGTGTCTCGTTATTATAGCGGAGTAAGTTTAGTACCGCGTAGCGTATTTCCAGCCTAACCATAGAGCAGGTACATGGTGGCATCAAACTGCCTCCTGGTCGGTTCTCGTCAAACATTTGCATTTGCTCGTGATGGAGCCCTGCCTTTTTCACGATATTTGTACCGGATCAATCGCTACACAGGAACACCCGTCAACACTGTTTGGTTCGAAATCATCTGCTCTCTGGCAATCGGACTTTTGTCGTTCGTAAGCACCCAAGCCATCGATGCGGTATTCACAATTGCTATCACTGCGTCGTATATTGCCTTTATAACGCCGATCACGAACCGCTTTGTGTTCCAGAATGATTTTAAACCCGGTCCGTTTTATCTGGGGAAACTGGTGGGTCAATCGGCGCAATGTATTCCTGATCTAATATATGTCTGTGCAGAGCTTTCCGGTCTCTGTGATCGCTGTGGTGTGGATGAGCTTCATGAGCTTTGTTTTCTTTTTTCCCGCGACCCCGCAAACAACGGCACAGGAGATGAACTATACAGTCGTGGTACTTGGAGGCTTCATGTTTCTAGCGATTTCCTGGTATTATCTTCCGGTGTACGGAGGCGTACATTGGTACACTGGACCCATATCTAACTATACGCCGGCCATCAGAGGTGAAAACAAAGACGAAGATTCTATATCGGAGAGGAAGGAACATGATGCCGATATCTATGTTTCAGTGGTGGATGTATAAGTAGTGTTCGTGTAGACTGGTGCCAGTAGAGATGTTCAGGATATTGGATTAAAGCGTGTATATTGACTAAATACTACAACGAAAACTTTTGTACGTGTCCTTGAAATATACGTCGAAATACCAAATGAGCTTAATCAATACCATCACAAAAGTGCGAATAAATAAAAGCAAACTCCCCTGCTCCTTGGAGAGTACTAGAGAACCGTCAACTTCACCGAGCATCACACACTATTGCCAGTCGATATATGCACACGCTCTTGGAAAGCGATCGAGCTCATGCCGGTTGCTGCATCGGAGTAGGCCACGAGCTCAGCATGATACTTTCGAACGCTAAGAATCAGGCGTGATCCCAGCACATAAATCTGCCCGATTAAGAATATTTGAACAGATCCAGAATAAATCTGAACTTCCAGGGAATTTTGGTCCTATAGAAATGATGAGCCATGATCGCATGCAGAGGTCAGTAAAAGATTGACATACTACCGTTGAGAGTGCTGGAGAGAAACCATATACGAGCTGGAAGCAAGAAATAGCAAGAAAGCTACCGCCGCCACACCTTCAGTAAGAGTAATTAGTTATAATCACACCATAAGCTCACCTAACAAAGTAGACCACGTGGGTTTTCACCAATACCGTGAAACAGTCCCCGGTAATACTTCCTGTCGAATATTGTCGCAATTCGCTGAAGTGTTTCACAGCAATCCAGATTGCGAGACATAGTGTGAGGACCTCTCACACCGTTCCGAGTATCCAAATAATGAGATCCAGACGCAAGCCACCTTCTCCAAAGTCAAAAGAGCACTGATGAGTGCCAGAAAGAATAAATTCCTCTAGTGCTCATCGATGAGCACTATGCACATTTATCTTTATCCGCAATTAAGCGTACCTCCTGAAAGATATAGGTTTATCATTATAGCGGCCACTCCGTTAAAAATGTTGTCAGCCAGGAAGACGACACTGAGAAATATCAGGATCTTTCTGGATCGTTGATACATGGCATATAACCGAGTGATCGTGATGACTTGCAGCATGATTCAAGTCAAGGAAATAACTGTCGCAAGTGCCAAGCTCACCCCCCAATATTGGAAATACCAAACCACCGACCTAATACTGTACGATGTACGAAATAACGCCTAACGAATTCAGTCAGTGACAAGCCTCGGGTAGCACACACTCCAGAATGGACTCACATCTGTGGCAGTATAGTGTAGCAGTCATTAGTGAACTAAGAAGTTAGTAAAGAATCATACTGACCCCTACAGGACACCACGGTCAATCGAAGGGGGATGGTAGGTATCTGTGCAGGAAACTCACTGTATCTGTTAGCGAGATGGTTGGAAGACAGACTGTATGCCGTTGGTTAGGAGAAGCGAAGGCAGCAAATATACCAGGGAGACATACTCAACATACCCACACTGATTATGAGAGATAGACAATCAATACGACATTGATTATTTGACCTTCCGAACATAGGCAGTACATAAGATTCCGAGGTAACGCACCTAGGATACGTTTAAGTCAGCATAGCATGGAAACTACAACAATAAGCCGCATACACCGAGATATAGAACTGTCATTAGGTACCAGCGTTGCACCTGGAATTAATTGTACATTCATGTGTGTTCCTCTGACATGATACTCCACTCACCCAGATCAGTTCGACCTAGTATAAAACCATTGTTAGCGAGATGTCCGCCCCAGCGATAGCATTGACATACCTCCTGTCCGAACGAAAGTGCTGAAATAGTTCTAGGATATCAGCAGTCCTTTAATATCGTCATGCTCACCTCAATCATATGTTACTTCAATAAAAATGGCAACTGCAAAACCGCAGCTAAGGTTAGAATGAGTCAGCTTCAACATTCAACTGCTTTCCACGAACCTATAAGATAACTGGAATCACGATATCCGTTTATGATCGGCCACAAAGTGGGATCGTTTAAGACTATGGTCATATTGGGAGAGGATGAGTGTGAGTGAGAAGCAAACTTGGTGGACGTATGGCAATGAGAGTGGCGGCGATATACCATAATCATGTGCTTTATTATAATTAGCAAAATGAGGTCGAGAGATTATATCCGTTCCTGCAGTGCACATTAGCCAAAGTGAGTATTTTCGTATGAAGTGCGTATGTGCACAGCACTAGTGTACTCTGCCTCCATCATCGGACTTTGTATCACATGCCAAAAATGGCATTAACTTCAGTTATTTCTTCAAGCGTTTGGTTCAATATTTGTTTGGATCGCAGACCAAGAACCACAGAACCACATGTATGCATCAGGGAATCTCAGTCGTCACGGTAATGTGGATACTGAGGGTGCCGGTGATTCCCCGTTGACTATCAACCTCTTTTAATACTGCACGATTAGTGGTTCAGGCTGAGTCGAAATCACCCACTTGCAACGGTGCAATATGACAACTCCGGAGCTTCAGCGATTTCCAAGTTGCACCCGCAACCAGATGCAGATGAAACGACTCTCGCCAAGCTAGGATTCAAGCAGGAGTTTTACAGGGAATTCACTCCGCTAGAGGTGAGCTTGATTTCAGACTCTTCCGTGTACGTGACACAAGCTAACAATTGCAAGTGGCTGGACTTGCATTCAGCTTTGTTGGAGTAGCTCCTTCAATAGCGTAAGCCATTGCTATGATGCAAGCCAATTGAAATCCCATCGCTAATGATAACAATTCGTTCAGTTCTGTGCTCTTCTATGCAATACCAAACGGTGGGCCTTTCGCGATGGTTTGGGGTGTAAGCTTTCATCACACGTGAGGATTCCTACATCTCACTTTCCCTCTGCGCAATGGGCATTTGCTTGCCCCTTTATCATGTGCATTGGGATGGCGATGGCAGAGCTCGCATCACCAGCACCTACTTCTGGCGGCGTATGTTATCGACGCTGTCGCTATTTCACGCATGACTCAACACAATCTAGCTATACTATTGGACTTACTCTCTTGCCTCTCCACGATGCCGCAATTTTCTGTCGTGGATAGTTGGCTGTAAGTCCTGCATTTTGATGTGACATGCAGTCAGTCCTAACTCATCTGCAGATTCGAATACCACAGGGATTATCACGGGAGTTGGTAAGACGGATTTCGTTTGAAGAGGTTCATAAGTCCTGTCTCTCATTCAATCAATGAAAGGCAGGATGACGGCAAGAACGAAGGCGAAGGCATCGATGAAGTTCATCAGTCCTTTGTCTCTCATTTGATCGATGAAAGGGAGGACGACAAGGGCGGTGATGGTGATGACGGCGGAGTCGAAGGCGAGGTCATTGACAATGATGTTCAAAAGAGAAGTAAGTCATTACAGGCCTAGTAGATCACTATGTATAACACCTGTCACCAGAGGCTTTTGTTTACCATCTCAAGGACGAGAAGCGCTACAACTAGGCAATATATCCGAGAGGTACTGGTTTTTCCTCTTGCATTACTACTATGAAGTCTTATCGCTGTTTGTTCAGCTTTCGAATTAGGAAAGGGTTGCGAGAAGGCGTATTAAGTTTCATACATCATATAGCTACAGTATCGGGATGCAGCCTAGCTCGCATGAGAGTAGGCAATAAGCTTGATGTCTTGACTTGCACAAGTATTTGTTGACAGTGACGTGTTCAAATGCGGTCACATGCAGCGCGTTTTCCTACTCCTGAAGGCTGTACGCTAAGGATCAACAATGAGTTGGTTCGGCGGTGCTTTGCTAATATTCACCACGAGCAAGTCGCATCCAACAAATTTACGCATAAACTCTCATAATTCTTGTTCGCACAGGAGTCTCCCATAGTACGCAACCACTTTTTTCGCCGTTCAGGCCCAGGTCCTAGGTGCAGCGCCTTTGACGACCGTGGAACAACCCAGCACGCATCATTTGCGTCACCATACGGGGTTGCTTTTCAAGTTATACCTATGGAGCACTTTAAGTGTCAATCTCATACTCTTGGAATGATCTGTACTCGCACCGTCGTCTATCATCCACTCTGCCAACAAACACACATATGGAGGCCATCTCTCAGATGACTAGCACACGAAGTAGAACAGAATGTTAAAAGTACGTCCCACGCGGCGTCAAGACTGAATATTTATGGATGTCAAATAGGAAACATTGATTGTTGATTGAGATAACGAGAAACTTGCAATTGGACCGGTCGTAGCACTATGTACCATCTTGCGCGTCACGGATCGTTGCAAAACCCCTTTTTAGTTTCCTGCACTCACACTCCAATGCTGACTCCCACTCTCAGCGCAGCAGGAATTAATAGCCGCAATGCTTAACGGATCAAACACACTGGCCACCCGATACCGCAGGCCCATTCCAACTCCAGATATACTTTAGGCCTTCGTCTTCCTTTTTGCATGTTACCCCACCCGAGTGGGAGACTGCATAGCAGAGAGTTCATACCGTAAAAACCACCCACACATCATCACAGTACTAGATAAAATAGATCACAATGCCAAAAATAGTTGGTTCTATATTCAGTGATTATGCCTCGCCGATCAGCTGAGGACCGCAGCATACATTATGCAGGAACGCTAACTCACCTCAGGTGCCGTGTACAATTTGACATAGCGACCCGCGACCCTTTTCCTTCGTGGCCTCTTTGCGCCGTTCCCTTTCAGATTTGCAAGTGTAGACGATTGATGTTATTCTGGTACCTCTATGCGGTGCGGTTGAACGCATCTTAATTAAGCTCTCTCCATGCGGAACGCAAGATACAGGGTGCATGTATTTGTAGCTAAGTGCTGATGATACGGACGAACGGCACGAATGGCTGTCGATCAGCTCGGACATCACCTCTGCATTACGAATGAGGGCTATTTACTATCTATCGTGTCTGACCTATTACGAATCTACAAATCGTATTTGAAAAATGTCTTGTTCAATGTCCTTCAGAACAAACGGAGGCATAAACTAAAACTATTAATCAACAGGAGGGAGAGGGAAATTTTGCTGAGGAATGCTATTGTATATCGGACAGAGCTGCCTCGAAGCATCTAACGCTGATCGTCAGACCCGGTCTAGTTCATAATGCTCGGTGCTTACTATTGAGAGGCTGTGAAGCCGCCACATCTTCAGGAGCCTCTGCGAATACTATAGCCAGTCCGCTACGGATCCAATGATTAATTCAAATCCAGGCTCAGTGAAAGGAGCAACTCACGCGGATAGATGCCAATCGATATGGCTTCACAAAGACAAAATGTTATTACGAGCTAAAAAGACATGAAGAGAACACTTACCAATGCAAAAACCAAGGTCCAGGGTTGTCGGTGATGAACCGGATAGTTACACGATCACCGGTGTTGCCAGTGTTCACTGTATCACGCATGACAGGATCGATGTAGTTATAAGCAGTACTTCCAACACCCCTGATAACAGCAAAACTGTGCTACAAACCAATTATGATTAGTCTATTGAGTGTATGTAGATGACATGCCAAGAAGTACCCCATGAAGATGGAATGGATGCTGTAAAGACATGTCAGCCAAGGACATACATGTCATTTTGAAATGGACTCACAGGACCCCCAGGGGAATTATCTGGATTGAACGTAAGTTCGATAACCTTATTCCGTGGCAGAGTGTACACGGAGCCGTTGGGCGCAAGATCCGCAGCCGTCATAGCACCGCTCAGTAACTGTAATAGGACAGGGACACTAGGAGAAGTATACTGGATGTTATTGATGAGGAAGTTGAAATTGGACAGGTTTTTCCCAAGAACAAGGTCAAGTTTGACGTCCGGTTCTTGCAGTAAACGAGGCGAAGGCGGAGTTAGGGGGTGTAGGCTAGTCTCATTCAGAGTATCCCAGTCTGAGTTTGTCATGTTCTGGGGGTCTGCGTCGGGAGCGCCTGCATATCGAAAGATAGCCGTGGCATTTGTCCCCGCATCGGGATCGGCATGCACCCAATAGTTGTCGACAGGCTGGTTTGTCTCGAGAATGAAGGAGTATCGTTGCGCAGCGTAGATCTGGATAGAGTCCACTACGAGCGGCTCGACGTATTGACCATCGACTTCAATGATGGTAAGATTATGGCTGTCGATCGAGAAAATGTAGTTGGGCTTGCACGCCATGTTCAACAAGCGAAAACGATATCGCTTTCCTGGCTGAACGTTGATGACGGCGAGAGGCACATCTGGCCCTCCATCATAACGCCCGACACCGTTGATAAGCACCGAATCGGCGATTACTTGTCTCTGTACTAGAGGCGATGGCAAGTTATACCTACAAAGCAAGCCGAGTCAATAAGAGAAAAAGGTGCATAAGCCTTTTCTTTTCTTACCAGTCCATCAATGTGATGATGCTAGACTCTTTACTCAAATGTGAGAAACGCAACTTTGTTTCGTCGAACGTACTCACCATCATCAATATCATACAATGAACTGTATGGGTCGTTTGGATTGTAGATGATCAGCGGACCTCGTAGACCATCGCAGTATTGGACCTGAATTGAAATCAGTTTCCGACACCATGAATAAAAATCGAAGCACGCACTCCATAATGAGAGTGGTACCAGTACGTTCCCACTTGGTCGGTAGCATTGAAGTCGTACAAGAAAGAGTGTCCCGGAGCGATCGGACACTGCGTGACAAATGACACGCCGTCCATTTGGTTGCTATGATGCTGGAATAGCCCATGCCAGTGCTGTTTGCGATAGACATCATTGTGAGCTCCTACATGCATTTATCGGCTGGTACTTACGATACTGGTACTCGTTAGCATCGAATCGTTAGTCAATTGGTTTGTGACGTTGATCTTGAACGTGTCTCCCTAAATACACATGAGGTCAACCAAGAGTTTGCGCACGCAAAGCAAACGCTACCTTCTGAGCTACAATAGTGGGCCCGGGATGAGTGCCACCGGCAAGAACCCCTCTGCAATGCAGTCAGTAATCAAATCGGTCGAAAAGTAAGCAAACACTGACGATCTGGTGAACCCGTCTGGGGATACAATGCCATTGGCAATGACGAGGTCAGAAACTGGGCCAATAGTCACGGCACGACCCTGGAGGCATGCCAGAAGGCATATGAATACATAGAGTTGGAACATGACTCGACACTCGAGTCAATAGGAGGAGGATGATGAGCGAAATACATGGTATCCTTCAGCTTAAGTAGTGCTCCTGATATCACCCCCTGGATCAGAGAATTGGTCTACATATCTTCCGATTCCGAAATAATCGACTATGAGGCAGTAATCCCCTGTACTGGTACGTCCCAGCAGATTCCCACCTATAGGTCTCCACAGATCAACTCGAATGCATTACGGACTTTGTAGAATGGAAAATTTGATTACCTGTCAAAGGCACTCTCCGTTAGCGATACGAGCTCTGAAGCTGGGTAGCATCCAAAAGGGACTTGGCGGCTGACCGGAGTACCTGAACGCGCTTTCATGTCTTCCGTACGTTTTGTGGATGTCGTTGGCCGGGGGCGTTGCAACGGATCACCTGAATAAGCATCTATGATTCGAGACGCAGCTAGGCTGTCATGTCAATTACACCTACCGCCTTCAAACCTATTTTGGGCATGCAGGACACGACGGATCGCCTTGTATAATGCAATAGGATCCAATCATTAGCCAAGCGATACTGGTAGTAGAACATTTACATTTACATCAAGCCTCGGCAGAGTTGTCAAAATACCCACGACGACAGATCTTCAAGACTTGGCCCCAGGCGCTGTAGCGATAAATTTGACAGTTGCCGAGTTCAAGACTGGTATGGAGATGGATCTGTTTATAAGCGGAGATCTTTGGTGCCGCAGCCACGTTGCATAGCTAGTAGTTGCCCAGTAAGTTCCCGCGCCATATCACCTGTTACCGTGTAGAATGAACACCCGACAAACTGATGCAGTCGAAGATTAATCTAATTATACCTCCGCAGCTAAACACATACTGCAATCCGACAGTATGTTATTGTTGTAATTTGATACGTTGGACCGCATTGCGGCGACGTCTTGGAGCTATCAAGTGCCTGTATAGGCACATGGACATTATCCGTCCAAGGTTATTGAATCATGATGGCTGCTGAGCTCAGGTGACAGGTTTGCGACCTTCTGGACCGCTATCAGGTGTTGCTGTGATTCCGCAGGTGCAGTTGATTTGAAAACGGAGGCTATAATTAATGTCATCGGTATACATATAGAACCACGAGGTTATATTAGTCCAATCTTTAACCACTGTCGACAACATGGTATGTGTGCGACATTCAAGTTGAATTCATGCCCTTACATCCTGTGGAGCAACAGAGAAACTGCTCACAACAGGTAAATGCATGCCCGCAAATGAAGAATTCAGATTCACATTACCTTGAGGAACCTGGTCGAGTGGTAGCATCAACGGTACAATGGGCAAGCCTCTCCAACACCTCTGTCATCATCAGTCGTTTTTCGGGTCTTCGTCCATAAGTTGCCACGAAATTTCGAGTGAGGGTATCGCGATCCGTGGATGGGCGACACTTGTCGCACAGCGCCTCTAATGTCTTTCCACAGGACCACAAGTCCGCACGGATCGCACTGTAGAAACCATTACCAGCGGCTACCTCGGGGGCGATATATTCGGGAGTGCCCACGACGCTACGGAACCTATGTTCGACACCCTTGACTCGCAAGGACCTGTTGAAGTCGATGACAGTCAGACGGCCACCGTTGACGGGGATTGAGGCTCCTCGTCAGCATCACCCTCAACTACTGGGAATGGGTGAGCTAATGATCAACAGATATGCTGACGTAACTCGCCCTCCTGAGGCTTGATCACGATGTAGACATAACTATCTGATAAGGATTGTGCCAGAGTCCGCAATGACTGCACAGGGTGCACCTTTTGCCAATTGCTCTCATCCAGGCACTCTAGAATGATGTCGGCAGGGGTTCGGTCATCAGGAAGGTGCACGGGATTTTTGAGCTGGTAGTAGTCGCATTGATCAAATGAGATTCTACCCAAAATACGACGTGCATCAGCCGATTCGGATTTGAGGTACGCAAAGGTATCCTGGATCCGAGCGTTATCGGAAGTTGTAACACGGTACAACTCGGTGTCGAGGACGACGAGGAATGTGTGGACCATCGCCAGACTCAACTGTGGGAGACGCGATAAGTCAATTAGATGTAGAGATATATCAATATGCGAGCACGAACTTGTTTAGGTAATGAACGATGACTGCGTAGCTGCAGAGGGAGACAAAGGAGATCAAAGGGCAGTCACAACTATAGGTGTGGCGCGCATAGTAGGACCTAGCTGAGTCACACAATCTTTGGAAGCCGAAGATGCGTTTAACTTGTGTTCGTCTGCGCCCGCATCTTCAAAAGGTCAAATCTGCAATAACACATCAACTGTATATCAAATACTGCGAGGAAATGACTTACTGCAACTTGACTGCGACGGGCTGAAGTTCACGAGTCCTTTGAAGCTGTGCTTGCCCAGGGACTCGGCCAGAGAAGCCACGCGTGCAAGCTGTCGGTGAGACGTTACTACGAACATCAAAATGGTAAGCACGTGGCGTTTGGTGGACATCATTTGGGACACGGCGAGCTGGTTGTCGATGACTAGGACTCGCAGCAGCCGGCACCAAATGTTGTACAGATCAGTGCTGTCTGTGAGTCAGAAAGACCGGCCGGTGCAGCTTAGATTCGCACGTTATAATATCAACCGAAATTAAAGTTCACGCCCAACGCGTACGGTTTCTTGATTTCTATCATACACGATCATTTACTAGCTAGCGTGCGGAGCTTACTAGTTGTAGGAAACATCGTACAGCCGCGGCATGGGCAAGATCCTATAAGCCAGTGTCAGCCATCCAATTCACCAACAGGATCGCAAGTTATTCTTTCTTAGGCAAACAACACACAGTGATTGTATGTTATTCTCTCGAGATGGAAGTCACTTGATGTACGGCCGTGATTGTGGATAGTCACAGGTATCAGGTCATATGTGTCTTTGTCAGGCCCTGCCATCGCCAACTTGACGATCGATCAACCTATGGTGTACCGACCTTATCAATTCTCGACCTCATTCCAAATCCTCTCGTCCGTTGTCTACGCTACCGCACTGGTAGGTCTCCTTCCCCATCAAAACCATATTACTCATCTAGTGACCTAAAACCAATTCCGTCCGACCTGGCAGACGATAATGAGCACCACTCCCGTCAACCCGTTACCCACATTCGTCCTTCCTCCATCACATCTTCTCAGCTCCTCCACACAATATGGGGCGTAGCTATTTTGACGCGGTCGTGACGCGCATGTGACGCGGCACTGACGCGGCACTGACGAGCCTTGACGCGGCCACTGACGCGCCATTCCTATATTCTACATTCAACTTCCAGATCAAGTTGGATGAGTTCACGACCATTCTTTTGTTATTTTAGTTGCCTCAGAGCCATGTACAACTAGGTATACATAACTACCACAAAGGCACGATGCATTGAGTTGTCCCATGATACCAGCCCGGCGGGTCTGCGGACGTGTGACTACCTCACAGGTAGGTTCATCGCAAGTAATGACACCCAGGCAAACACGTCTCGTCTTTTTACCTTGCGACCACACAAGTGCTGACTCTGACCCCCTCTTGTCTCCTCCTGGCTGACAAGCCCAATGTTCACTAAGATTGTCAGTTCTTAATACCTCCTCCCATGTTAATAACCTTTCAAAGTCACTGTCCGGCCATGGGTCCCATAACTCATCTCCACCGCCAGATTTGGGACGTAGGGAATTGGAAGATTGATCCGGACCACGGCGTTGATTTGTTCGGGCTGCAGAAGGACTAACACTTCGGGCACGCCGGCGTGGTATAGACTTTGTGTCCGTGCAGAGTTCGAATAACTCCTGTGAGTGGTGTTTCATGTGTTGAGGGAGGGGTGGTGGATTTGGGACGGAGTGTGCAGGGTCATGTGATGGCTGAGCGGTCTGCACGGAGGCCGGAAGATAAGCTATTACATTGCCTGTTCTATTTGTCAAATCTGAGTTCACAAGGAGAATATGTCGGATGACGCACCTGAACGGTCATAGCAGGGTATGAGGTCCCCAAAACTCAGCAGCGGACCCGGCCGATCTGGATCATTTTGATTCTGTCTCGTTGGGATAGAAAAAGTTGAATATATGTTTGATTAATTGCTAAAAGATGATTATAACAAGTTTACTCCGTATTTTAAAGAACTCACAAAGGCCATGATACGATTCACAAAAGCGCGATAATAAGGGTTGTTTCTCGAGCCCAGAGGAGACAACGAAAGAATGCTTAGTAAAATAAATTTATTACTGCCTATGGACAATTACAGTGTACGACGTCTAATTCTGTCAGGATGAAAAGGAACACTGTTAGAATATCAATTATTATGACAGATGTAAAGTAAAATATACCTAAGTTATACGGACAGTGTGACAGTTGAGGTGGTGAGGTTTGACGCGGCATGAATGAAGTTTGACGCGGCAGTGACGCGGCGTGACGCGCGGGTGACGCGGCAGTGACGAGGTTTGACGCGGCGGTGACAAGGTTTGACGCGGCATGGAGGAGGTTTGACGCGGCAACTGACGCGGTATGTGCTATGGTTGACGCGGCACTGTAGTAGGCCTTGACGCGGCATAGAGTGTAGATGTTGATATTAGTACAGAGACTGCGAAGATATTTGGGAGAACTTGTCGTGGTGTGAGTAGTGCTTGACGCAGCCTAAACGAGGCTTCTGACATGCCATGGTTGGGGCTCGACGTGTTGGTGCAGGGTATAGAGAGTGGATCAAACTTAGCAGGGTGAGGTCGAAGCTTGACGCAGTGAGACAACATTTGACACTGCATCTGAAAACCAACATAGATGAACGAATTAGAGGTAATGCAACAATATAGGACTGACGCGCAAGATGCATACTAGTAGTATGAACGCAGAGGACAAGCACTGTAAATTTGGTGAGAGGTGAATACAGCACTATAGAGCCTGTACGCAGGGAGACACTCATATGTTGATCATTAACGATGATTCAAAGTGTTTGGAATGCGATATGAAGTTGTGTAAACATGATTTGTACATGGGAATTTGTTACAGTGCCGCGTCACATATGCCGCGCACCTGGGTTGCCCTATTAATAAGCCTTATTATACTTGGTAGTTACGTGTCTCGCCAACTATAATTAGGCTTGGTTTCATCAAATCCCTACACCAGCGTTAAATAGTGCCCCAGCTCCTCAAAATACCTTCAAAAAAACTATGTACACCTCACTATGGTGGGCGCGCGCGCGCGCATAGGCTATATTCGGTAAGCATCCCGCCCCGCCTTAATTGCGTCATATTCCTATTTTAATTCGGCACGCTCGGCAACGCCTACTACGCTTCCTAATTCGAACCAAGGGGCCCTTCTCACGCTTCCTAGCTCTCCTCATCACTGTGCTCATCGTCCCTGCCGTTCCCTGCCTCCATCGTGCCCCCATTGTTCCGCCTTTGTCGTCGTCGTCGTCAACCTCCTTCGTTCCTGCCGTTTCCCACCTCCCTCGTGCCTTCTCAACCTCCTTCGTACCTTCGTCGTCGTCGTCGTCGTCCGTACCTGCCATTTCCCAACTCCCTCGTGCTTTCGTCGTTGCCCTCCTTCGTATCTGCCGTTTCCCGCCTCCCTCGTGCCTTCGTCGCCCCAACCCAGTAATGCCTCGTGCCTCAGGTGTCGGGAGGGTCAAAGGGCTCTCGAAATCCATCATTTCCCATGGTTTTAGAGGGGGTCATCGCTATTCCAAAGTCCTGGCAGCCGGCAAACAAAGCCAGCGTATGGCAGAGGCAGATTCCAGCCGCCAGGCTGCTATACAAGGTATGTACTATTTTCTTTTTTTATCATTAACGCTTATTGTTGTATTAGAAATGTCATCAGAGGACCGAAGCCGCGTCGAAAATATGATGGCAGATTTTGGAATGGACGTGGAGGTGTTCACCCATACAGTGCCTCCAGGTGAAGAGGCCTTTGACCTCAGTCACGCAGGTGGGGAGCATGAGGCATTTGAAGACCTTGCTCATCAACTGGCGGATCTAACTGGATAGTACGTATTCACCACTGTGTACAACTCTTCAAATATTAACACCCATTGTAGTCATCACATTGATCCACGAATTCGGGGAGAACGCATCGACACTCAAACCGCTCATTGGGGCCTTCAGATAGATCGTCTCGTTGACGCCTACTTAAACTATCGCAGTCGAGATTCCGGGGACGGTATGCCTGATATTTCAGATCAGGTCCTGTCAGGTGTCGATGCTTCATTCTCAATTAATGAGATTGAACTCATTGATACATTCAGTAAGTCTGAAACGTTCCTTGATATCTTGTACTTATTTTTTCTTTGCAGCACGAAGGCGCTCGCATCTACGACCATTACCGTCTCATCAATACCCGAATGAAACCCTCATCTACTATGGGTACATCGGGTGTGCCCCGATGTATCCTTCTGTTGCCATCTCGCTTCGTACACTCGCTGCCTACCGTCAGTCGCACCGAACGTGTCCCCGGTTCAGTATCCAATCACAATGCAAGACTTTATGTTACCTTCACGATGTACGTACATTCCTCACATTGAGGTTCGTTTATTTACGTTGAGTTTGTAGATTCCATATCGGCCATACTTAAAAATGCAATTCTCGGCAGCCTATGACGTTTTTCTAGAAATCCTCCATCGCATCAACCAGCGTCTGCGTCAGGCGCTCAAACGGGATACCGTCAACTGGCGTATGTTAAACACATGCCCTGCATGCTTTTACAAGCTCGACGATGAACCTGCCCTCGATTTTGAATGGCTGGTATCAATTGACGGTAACAATAGCCTGAAGCGATGGGACTCGTCCATCTATGGTACCACCGCCCGATCTGATTCTCGCACAGCTCGTTCGGATTATTGGATTCATGCTGACGCTGTTGACAAGTTTGAGAATGAAGTCAAATCCCGACAAGTAAGTGTTTACTATGTATACAACTATGTTCTAACATTATCTTTTAGACAGACTTGAGGAATGATGACGACTGGGAGGATGAGCCTACAGACCCGGATCATCCGGGAGCATTCACATGCGTCAATCGATGGAGAAACGCTGGCCCAGACTCACGTAAGAAGATGTTTGCCGTATTCCAAGAGTCAGGTATTTTTATCGCTTCATGCCGCCATCGCTTTGTGCTTCTCGCGTGTGATATGATCCGAAGCGGAGAACTGTAAGACCGCATTTTGATCTAATTTTTATATTACTAATGTATTCTGGCAGTGCGAAATATCCGATAGCGATCATCGACAAACTCCTTACGGTATATGGAAAAAATGGAGGTTGCGCGTACGATATCGGTTGCGCATTCTCGAAGACGTTAGCTAATAGTACGTTGGGCCCTCGTGCACACGATCTCGGCTTTCGGATGATGGTTGGCGCCTTCCATGGCCATGCGCACAATCGAAGGTGTCAGCTTGACTGGCACCCAATGTATATCTCTGGAACTGGCCATACTGAGGGCGAGGGTTGTGAGCATATCTTCTCTGCATCTAACGAGCTTGCGCGTAGCACAAGGCATGCTAACCGTTTTCATCGCCACCAAGCCATCGAGGAACATTTCGCTTTTTGGGATGCCGATAAGTATGCTGCACTTAGTAAGTCAAAAAATCAAGCTGTAATTGTAATACTGATGCCGCAGTGTCAGGTAATTATTTGTGGACTCATTATCGCGAAGCGTTGAAATCTGTTCGGTTGCTGACAGCCGAGCTAGAAACTATCAAGGCCGAGCTACGCCTTAGCGACAACGACTTCCCTGGATTCTTTGATCAGGAACGCATATATCTGGATGGTCTGAAGCAGCCAGCTCCACGAGATCGACTCTCTATACGTTACGTTGAAGTACTAGACGAACTCGCTGAAAGAAGGTATCGTGCCATCGACTACTAACTACCACCCATCCCCTGATATGAATTTTAATAGAGCTGAATGGGATCTCGCCCGTGAATCTGGCAATAACGCTCTTAATGGAGTACATATTGGCAGCTTGGAACAGATGCATGACGCTGTAGAGACTCGTGCATCTCATAGTGTGATATGGCGCTTTACACTAGGGAGTATACAGCACCAACTCGCAGCATCACTCTGTGTACCATCCACAGTGATTCCTATATGACGCGCAGCTTTCCCGCGCAACGCGCGCCATGCGCGCACCATTCCCGCGCTTCACGATGTATACGCGCGCGCGCGTTCCCGCGCTTGCGCGCCCTATAGCGCCAGCCATCCACTGTCCACCAAGCTCCCTAGTGCGTATATTTCCATTTCCTTTATTAGCATAGTTCCACCTTTATTTTTATCATAGTTTCTCACTCATATATATTTTTACATACCTACTCGGTAGCGCTTCGGCTCCGCATGAGCGCGCTTAGGCGCGCTATATAAGCGCCAGCAGTACATACTATTATTTACCTTACTTTTCACCCAACTTTACCTAGTACTTACTACTTAGAAAGTCGCAGTAGAAATCTATTCATTAGCACAACACATCTCACATCCTTTATCTTGCTTATATCTTCACATAAGTTTAGTCTCTCTTATTTCCGCTTACACGCGCGCGCTTTCCCGCGCTTCGCGCTAATACGCGCGCGCGTTCCCGCGCCTTCGTACCTTGCGCGCACCTGCGCTTTCTCGCGCTTCGCTGAAGCGCGTACCTCTAGATCTCCGCTGCACCTGCTTCCCCTTTAGGGTCGAATGCACTTGCCATCTCAAGTATCGCAGACTAGGCAACGCACGACCTACAACTTATTAGATACAGTCAGGAGCATTTCTTTGTTCCTCTCAGTATTGTTGTTTCTACAACGCCCTGAAGCAAGCTCGCATCCGAGTTAATTCTTCATACGCCAAATTACAGCATGCCGAGGGGCTTGTTGCTCATTGCGAAACACTCTTATCTGTCGATGAGAGATGGTTGATTGGCGGTGACGAATACAAACGTTTCAAGGAGGAAGCGACACTCGGCAAGTATCGTACTGCATTGGATGAACTCGAACGTTTGGTCGTCATGAGATTGTTTGAACTCTCAAAGCTCTCGTTATCGGGCACAGGTTTGAGATTTCCACTACTAGTAAGCGCTTGTACTATGACTGATTCGTTTACAAATTGTTTAGGATACAAACTACGTCAACAGATTAGTAAAGCTTTACAGCGGCGCTCGGACACTATTCGCAACGCGATCAATCGCTACAATATCCAGGCTGCTTCCCTCATCCCACCGAGACAAACGATCGCATGGAAAGACATTGCCGAATACAGTTTCCTTGGCGAGTTTGACCTTCTGCGTGACTCTCGTACTGACATCCAAGACAAGGATTGGGCAAGGCCAGCTCACCGTGAGGCGACTACAAAGTACTTCAAGCTCTGCCGAGCTCGCGAAGAAATTATTCGACTCAATATTGAAATTCGCCGGCTCCGAACTGCTATCCACGATGAAACCATTGACACGTCTGCCGTTATCGACGAACTTCTTGTAGCTAACCCTTTGCTTGCTGCCGAGTTGAAACGCCAGTGGCGCTCACGGGCGGCTATCAACGCTGTGCACACATATCGGTTAGATCAGATTGAGAGACTATTTGGATTCTCTGGTATTAGTGGCATTGGAACTCGCCTTGCGAATCCTGCGTTCAGCAGACCAGTCAATACCAACGGTGCTAGTTCCGGTGAGTGTGGATCTTTAACTACCTATATCGCATTAATTCTCGCCACAGCACAAGCAGAGAATCCTGATTCTTCTGCGTTGGAATTCCATGATATTGAAGCCCTTGACCGTGAAGAGCACGAAGTGGTCACCGAAGACATGGCTGATTTTTTGTACTCAATAAACGACTGACACCATCTCTGCTTTGTAATTGTTTTTTTTCATGTACCGCATAGGACTACATATATGAGAAGTTTTCTGGTTTGATCGGTGATATAAGAAAGAGTAGGTAGACAATTGTATAAGTGATTGTGTGGGTGATATAAGAAAGAATTGAACAACTTGAATACCTATGATGTTCGGATAGGTTAGTTGGCGACCCCGAGCTTTCTGCATGGTGACCTCGTCGCGATTCCTTGATCCAACTTGAATGTCGATGATGTTTGGATAGGTGAGTTGGCGATCTCACCTTGATCCAACTTGAATGCCGATGATGTTCGGATAGGTGGACCAACTTGAATGCCGATGATGTTTGGATAGGTTAGTTGGCAATCTCAAGCTTTCTCCTGTGGTGACCTCATCACGATGATATTCAGATAGGCTAGTTTGGCGACCCCTGGTAGGCTTTCTTGAATGTTAGGGAGACTCTTTGCCTGACTCGGAGGATTATGCGGCTATCTGAAGTGTCATGCCGTTCATAGCATAGTCCTTTGTCATTCCTGTATGAATATGCATTGTATACTATTTTGTACTATGTAGTTGTGTGATATCCGATCTTGCAAAGTGAGCTCACGTGCTGTATTGAGTGTCAAATCACGGACAACACAATATTCTGCTGAACACATGTATTCAGCTGAATTCTATAGCAGCAACTTGAAGTCGCCAGCCTTTCATTTTCTTCATGGTTTACGACCACTGCTATTTCATGCTTGATCTGTGCTTCTGGAACTCATTCCAGAATTGCATGGCCTGCAAAAGTGAGTATTACATTTTACGTTTTGGCGCTTATCTGTGCTTTTAACCTTGCTTCACAACTACAGACTACATCACCGGTTCCATAATGGTCACTCCAATCTCTAGCCTCAGAGCCACTGCGTCTATCACCTCCGTTCAGCCCTCAAGTCAAACCACGGAATCAGCCACTAAAAAATTCGCCATCCCCAGTCTTGCCAATCTACACAACTCAACGTTCGCTCAAGGATTCAGCAATAACGAACGTCAAGCGGCCGCCAGGGCTTTACTGAGACACGACGTTCACATTGACGGGACACACTATCAGGCTAGACTGCCTGGTGGCCTTCACCCGTCGTACTTTGCCTTTAGCAGCACTGCTAAACGAACCAGTGAAAAATCCCTTACCCACGAGGAGCTTCTGGAGGCATCACTGCAAGACGTCTTCGACGCCGTGAGTCATTCAAGTCAGTGTCCGCATCTTATTTATGTCTCACTTGTTTCCCAGCTGAGTATGCAAGATCGCCTTGATGGCGGAATTTCTGTCCTCATTCGATGCGCTGGGTCTGAAGCAGTCTCTTCACCCGAAAACCTCCCTGTCGACCTCTACATTACGCCCCGCGAACTACAAGAAACTCCCGAGCGAATTGGCGGAGACCTTGCCGTCTGGGTGCAGGTATTTGCCCAGGAGTTTGCAATGCCACACCTCGAGCGGTTCAATCAACGTTGTGTCATCGAAAACATCCAACTGCCACCATGCTGTAAGTAGTAGATCATTTTCGGCTTCACTGTTCACACAACTGACTCAAATTCAACAGTTTCTGCGGCTCATATCAATGTCAAGGGCCCACAGTATCTACCTGGCCCAGTGGTTGCTACTGGAGCGCATATACAATGTTCTGCTCAACTGGCCCATACCTTCACGCAAGAATTGAAAGCAACTGCGGTGCACGATGCTCCTTCTGCAGCTATCCGCGGGGGTGCAGAAATGAGCGAAGGTATTGGCGAGAACATTTCGCCACAGCTGACCACCCAACACACACGAGTTCGCCGACGCAGGCACGCGGAAATTTTCACACCCGGCAAGGTAACTAATGATGGCCCGATTTTTTCGGTACCAAGACTGGAGCAGGATACTGCATGTGGACCGCCACTCATTAGTATTGGACCGAATACTGACGCCGCTCTGGATTGGATTAAGTTGGGGGATGAAGTTTTACCTAAGCTCCGTGTTCTAGTTCAAACTGTGCGTAGCAGCCGATGGGAGGCAGTGTTCAGGTCTCCAAAATGGGATCTCTCATACGAACATGCTTCCATTCTGTCTAGGGCAGTCCTGGCTGACCTTCAGGGCATGCCACGTAGCCCTGATGTTGTAAAGGTCAGTGATATTATTTTGGCTGCTGCTGTCATACTAACTCAATTGAATGTCCATAGCAGCCGTCATCTGTCCTCATGTCCATTTTGAAGCTTATTGGTATATTGATTTTCTTATGCGGCCTATACTTTTTCGGCATCTTATTATTTTGGCTGTAGATCACTTTCCCCTTTTGAGTCTTAGTTATAAGCCATGTGTCCTGTTTTTTTGCCGTGGGTTAGAAAAAATAAATGCATTGGTGTGTATAAAATATTCGTATTCAACTACAAAGGCCCTTTGCTGATTTTTGCCATCCTTCTGTGGGTGATGGTCTCCCAGTCCTTCTATGCTGCGAAGCGCATTCAAGCACCACCTCGTAGTCGTCCTAAGGTCACCCTCAGCAAAGAAGCTCGCGCGGCACTCAAGTTTCAGCGAACCGAGAAGTCGCGTCAATTCAAGGATGCGCTTGATCTTGCATGGGGCCAAATTGACGATGTTACAACAACCATTGCTGCTACCCATCGCAAGAGCTTCCGTCGTGTACAGCACGATTTATACATGGGTCGGGGATCACTCCGTTCGAAGCATTCAAAGCCCAGCGTTTGGAACACATTTTGCTGGAAGAAATCTCAGGAAGCGAAGAAAGAGAACTGTAAGTCTGTTGATTTGTATCATATGCATTTTCATGACTCAATGTTGAATTAACAGGCAATGGCCACGGAAAGGAAGCACTCCAGTCACTGGTCCGCGACCACAAGGATGAATACCACGCTCTCACACAGGAAGAACAACAAGAGTTGCTCCAGGAATTCGCCGACCAGAAGGAGACCAAGGTCTCTGGGTTACGTGTCTCAACGAAGTCGAAGATCAACGACATCACTCAAACCCTGAAGGCGGTAGAAAACGAGGTACGCACCCTCGAATTGCAATACAATGTTACTAAGTGTCTCGTTACTAGCTCAATAGTTTAAATTCTCGCACTGGCGCCGAGGTCATGTTGTATATGACGCGCGGTACTACTGATCTACCTCTCCGTGCAATCACCTTCACAACGCCGGGTGTCAATCACTTTATGGACTCTGTCATCGGCATCGATACTCAGGACTTCCTCAGCAAGATGGAAGGTTTCGCTATCCAAGGGATACAAGGTACAGTTTTTCCGTTGTTATTACATTCTCAAGTTAATTTCTATTTGTACTAGGTGCCGCAAGCAACCATCAAAAAGAGGTCTCTAAGGTTCGCGGAGACATTCGAGCAATCATCACCCAGAAATTGAGTAAGTCTTTCCCATCTTTTGACAGCACAGAATTCATTTTATTCATAGGGAAGGTGACCGGAGAAAGCAATGCCAGGATGCAGTGGGCAGACTACTTTCGTAACGTGGTCAACCGCTATCAGGTCGCCATCAAAGGATGGCCGGAGCATATCCCATTCACAAACCTCAGCAGTGTGACCAACGCGCTTCCGGACCTCCATACTCTTTTAGACTGTTGGAAGTCGGGCGATACGAGGTGGGAAGTGTTGAATGACGAGGAACTCGAGCAACTCCGTCGCGAGCGCAATGAAAAAATTGACAGTGGTGACATTATCGAGTCCCGCCGCAGGACACGGTCCGACAAGGGTAAGAAGCGAGTACGACATGCGATAGCTGACCCCAGATGTAGCAAGAAGCACAAGAGTGCGGAGACCATTGAGTCCAGTGACGACGAAGATACCCAGAGTCATGGACGGACACCAGACGGTTCGGAGGATGTCAACACCACTCCGAACGCCAACTCGAACTCTAATACGACCGGGTGTACTGCTGGACGGACACCAGACGGTTCGGAGGATGTCAGCACCACTCCGAACGCCAACTCGAACTCTAATACAACTGGGTGTACTGCTGGACAGACACCAGATGGTTCAAAGGATGTCAGCACCACTCCGAACGCCAACTCGAACTCTAATACGACTAGGTGTACAGCTGGACAGACACCAGATGGTTCGGAGGATGTCAACACCACTCCAAACGCCAACTCGAACTCTAACACGAGTGGGTGTACTGCCGAGCACCCAGTAATGTCAATTCCCCCAGACTCAATCATCCTTTCCCCTTCGAGCAGCACCCCAGTACCATAACAATATCCCAGACTCAGCCATCCTGTCCCCTTTGAGCAATGTCCCTAGTTTCATTATTCCTGCGCTATAACTCATTTCTTGATGGAATCACTCGTGATAGACTTAGTTTGTTTTTATAAAAGTGCAATGACATCTTAGTTTGATCTACAATATCACAGTGCAAGTAGAATATGACATAACCCAGTGCAATGAGGTGCGACAAACTACAAAGGGACAAAGGAGAACAACAAAGCTACAAAGGAGGGTGACGACGAAAGTACGAGGGAGGCGGGAAACGGCAGGTACGAAGGAGGGCAACGACAAAGGCACAAAGGAGGGCGACAACGAAAGCACGAGGGAGGCGGGAAACAGCAGATACGAAGGAGGGCAACGACGAAGGCACAAAGGAGGGCGACGACGAAAGCACGAGGGAGTTGGGAAATGGCAGGTACGAAGGACGACAACGATGAAGGCACAAAGGAGGGCAACGACGAAAGCACGAGGGAGTTGGGAAACGGCAGGTACGAAGGACGACGACGACGAAGGTACGAAGGAGGTTGAGAAGGCACGAGGGAGGTGGGAAACGGCAGGAACGAAGGAGGTTGACGACGACGACAAAGGCGGAACAATGGGGGCACGATGGAGGCAGGGAACGGCAGGGACGATGAGCACAGTGATGAGGAGAGCTAGGAAGCGTGAGAAGGGCCCCTTGGTTCGAATTAGGAAGCGTAGTAGGCGTTGCCGAGCGTGCCGAATTAAAATAGGAATATGACGCAATTAAGGCGGGGCGGGATGCTTACCGAATATAGCCTATGCGCGCGCGCGCGCCCACCATAGTGAGGTGTACATAGTTTTTTTGAAGGTATTTTGAGGAGCTGGGGCACTATTTAACGCTGGTGTAGGGATTTGATGAAACCAAGCCTAATTATAGTTGGCGAGACACGTAACTACCAAGTATAATAAGGCTTATTAATAGGGCAACCCAGGTGATGCCGCGTCAGTGCCGCGTCACAGGCGCGTCACGACCGCGGCAGGCGCGGCAGGGCCGCGTCAATTTCACCTGGCCCCACAATATGATCACACGGGTACATATCATAACACCAGGAATAGCGTTGCGATGTGAGAAGTCGCAGCAGCCGCGAGACACAAGATGCATTTTTATCGAGTCCTGCGGGATGCTGTCAGGTAGTAAGTGACCCGATTTTCTCTGCATGAAGAAAGGTACTGGCGAGATCAGTATTGCACCTGCAAAGGACGATAAGTACTGCCATCATATATGCGTCGTACTTGTAGAGGACGTAGAGTTTGGTGGGTGTACAGGTGCGCCCTACGACCTCACATGTATTGATACTGACATTTTTTCGCAGCGTCTTGCATAAGACTTTGATTTATCGTCGTTCTACAATTGTCTCTAATCAATCATGCTGCAGACGTCTTCAAATTGTCTTATTACCAAGCAATGAACTGGCAGGCTTCGGAATCGCCCTCGCGTCCATGATATGCAGCCGGAACTTCAGCTCGCACGCTAAATATACCCCGGATCTGACTAGGTTCGTTTTATTCCATCCCCTTTTCAACTAACATATGAGTTGTTAGCCTGTGGATGAAGTTGCGAGGTCTCACTACTGCTCAGGTCTTGACGGGCTAACTGTACGCACCTCGACCATGGCTATGGACTACGATGGGCTATATCCCATAGAGCATTCAAAAGGGTCGTTCATGGGCGCATTGGTGTCCTGTCCCGTCATATTACCGATCCCACAGCACAAACTCCAGGTGCGCGCACGCACCACTAGATTGCTAATACCAGTCCTCGCCTCTGTCATCCATGATCCAGCCCAATTGTTTCTGGAGCCCAAAGTCCTATATATATTGTTTTCTAACTATTTTCTTCTCCAGACTGTAGTGCGTACAGACCTATTTACCTCTACAGCCGAACAAGTCTCAATCGACGAATACACCTCTACATCCGACATCTCCCTCTTCACATGGAGCATCCTAATCCATCTTCTCGACTGGCCACCAGCCTCTCTTACACCACTCATCCCTCCCTATACAGCACCAGTATCAAACTGATCGATCGTTTGTGTTCGCGATCACAGGAAGAGTCAGAGGGAGACGGTATATGATTCGCGATGCATGTAGAAGCTAGTGGAAACAATATAATGTACAGCTGTGCTTCAGTAGAAATCGGAGTATCATGGAAAACATTGTGTATCAGCGAAATACGACTGGTACGTGACGAAGTGAACTGAATAAACCCTAGCTAAGACAAACACGTATGGTACGAATCATGTATAGTGCGTGCACAACATACAAGGGTATCATAATGAAGACAAAGCAGCCTCCTGTTCCCGACACATGTGCCAAGATGTACCATGTTCAAAATAGCGTAAATCGAATTGCGAGGCATGATTAGGTATCACGAGTGTGTTGCCGGGCACATATATGAGCGGGTGGAAGTTGAGTGGGATCCAGAGAAGAAGGCGTCCGTCAGGACCTACAACCCATCCATCCTCGTTCGCAACAACAGAGACTGGAGTTGAGGAATCCTGGAGAAAGGAGGAGGGGGAATGAAGAGCGTAGATTGGGTTAGGTGAAAGGCATATCGCAGGGGCTTTGGAAGGGTGGGCTTGGTTGAGAAATTCTATATCCCAGACCCGGATAGTTTTGTCTTCTGAACCAGATATAATGCGCTTGCCGTCGGGTGAGATTGCGACAGACCGAACGGGTCCGGTGTGCCCTTGGAAAGCGGGACCCACTCCCTGGCCAGTCTTCATATCCCACACCCGGATCGTCTTGTCACTTGAACCAGACACAATGTGGTGCCCATTTTGCGAGATTGCGACAGAGTAAACCCAGCTGGTGTGCCCTTGGAGAGGGGCACCCAATGCCTTGCCAGTCATAATATCCCACACACGGACGGTTGTGTCATCCGAACCAGACACAACATATTTTGCATCCGGTGACACTGCAACAGACCGAACCCAGTCAGAATGTCCTTTGAGAGGGTCACCCACTGTTTCCCTACTCTCCATATCCCACACCCTGATTGTCCTGTCATCTGAACCAGATACTGCGCGATTTCCATCCAGCAAGATTGCGACGGACCGAACCGAGTGACCATGATCTTTGATAGGAGTACCAGATGCCTTGCCGGTTGCTACATCCCACACCCAGACTTCTCCGTTCCCTGAACCTGAAACAATGCGATGTCCATCCGGCGAGATTGCAGCACAGTAGACCGTGGAAGTGTGCCCTTGGAGAGGCGCACCCAAAACCTCGCCAGTCCCAATATCCCACACCCGAATGCTCTTATCAGCTGAACCGGACACAATGCACTTCCCGTCCAACGAGATTGCAACTGACTCAACAGATTCAGTGTGCCCTTGGAGAGGCGCAACTAATGCCTCGCCAGCCTCTATATCCCACACTCGAACTGTCTTGTCGTCTGAACCGGACACGATGCGATGTCCATCTGGCGAGATTGCAACGGAGTTGATGGAGCCAGTGTGGCTTTGAAAGGTAGCGTCTGCTGCCTTGCCCGTAATAGTGTCGGCATCCCACACCCGAATCGTCTTGTCATATGAACCAGAGACTATGCGACTTCCATCCGACGAAACTGTGATAGAATAAATCGAGGCAGTGTGGCCTTGAAGAGGAGATCCTGATGCCGCACCGGTCTTCGCATCCCACACTCGGATCGTCTGGTCGTATGAACCAGACACGATACGATTTTCGTTCGGCAAGAATACAACAGATGAAACTGAGTCTGTGTGCCCTAGGAGAGGGGCACCCAATGCCTTGCCAGTATCCATATCCCACACCCGAATCGTGTCGTCTGCTGAACCAGACGCGATGTATTTCCCATCCGGTGAGATTGCAACAGACAAAACATAGTCGGTGTGACCTTGAAGAGGGGTACCCACTCCCTGGCCAGTCTTCATATCCCACACTCGGATCGTGTTGTCGTCTGAACCAGAGACGATGCGATGACCATCTGGGGAGATCGCGACGGAGCGAACGTAGTCGGTGTGTCCTTGGAGAGGGGTCCCCACTGCCTTGCTAGTCTCCATATCCCACACTCTGATCGTCTCGTCAGTTGAACCCGATACAATGCGAGTTCCATCCCGCGAGATTGCGACGGAATAAATAGTGCCAGTGTGCCCTTGGAGGGTACCCAATGCCTTGCCGGTTGCTACATCCCACACCCGGACTGTCTTGTCCCATGAACCTGAAACAATGCGATGGCCATCCGGTGAGAATGCAACAGACGCAACAGCGTCAGTGTGGCCTTGAAGAGGGGCACACAATGCCTCGCCAGTCTCCGTGTCCCACACCTGGATCGTTCCATTGCGTAAACCACATGCAATGCGTTTTCTGTCTGGTGACATGGCAACCGACCAAACCTCGTGATTCGCGTGGATTATCTTTTCCATCGGAGGCCAATTCTCGACATGGCCAGCGACAATGCGGGGGGTGTGAGGAAACTTTGCGGCGAACTTGCGAAATATTCTCGACTGCGTTGGAGCGAATGGTAGAGCGGACAGGTATAAATGGGGAGTGCTGCGTATAATGGTGGGTGCGAAAGTGCGGACGAAACGCAGGGTGTCCCTGATAGCGTCACCAACATCCCTAAACTCGGCATGACCCTGCGACCACCCCACTACTCGTAAGAATGTGTCGGAAAAAGAATGAGCTTGAGTTACGCACCGAAAACCAATCTGCAATAGATGAGAAGGTCACTGCCGAGCCACCGAGGCTTCTCATCAGAGCCAGTGCCTCCAACCACCAAAGAAGGCGCTCCCCATCGAAGAAAGCCTCAACTTCTTTAGCGAGCGGTGATTCGAAGGACGTAAAGCCGACATGAGTCCCCCAAAACCGACATGAGTATGATAGCTCAGCCGGAATGGATTCTTTGACTCGTTTCTCCAAGTCAGGGACGGAAGAGTTGGGCAAGTACGAATTCTCTAAGGAGCAGATGTTGAAGCGAAGTCCGTCTTTCATGACCCGAAGCGTTGCGAAGGCAAGATCTTCATGCAGTACTGATGCATCAACAAAGAAGTCCTGGCTCCGCAATTTGTCTGTGAGGAAGTCGTAGAATGATGCATGAAGGGGACGTATGGGAGTATGGGAATCCGACGTGCCGGTCAAAAGGGATCCCAATGGCCCAAGGACCCCGTCCATTTCGTAATCGCAAGTCCCTTCGTGAAAATGCAGTCGCATAGCCGTCAACGCATGTATGGGAAGTGGTTCCGACGAGGCAAGGACTTGCCCCATCACCGAGCAAAACACTGGGATATTTTCCTTGCGCTCGTCCTCCGGCATGATTTCTTCCAAGATGCGTGTATAAATATCATCCAACAGACGCGTTCCCTTTCCAGACGTTCCAGTAATCACAGCTTTGTAACGACCCACCGGACCCACGCCCACCTTGTTCGTACCCTTGATGTACTCGCAGGCGAGACGAGCCCATTCAAACAGGCCGTCGGATTTTAGGGCAAGCGCCTTAAAGTGCAAATCGTTGAAGACGTGATGCAGATCTTCCAACTTGTGGGAGATATAAAGCTGTATGTCAAGTTCGGTGGATGCAGGCGAAATACCATCCAAAGGAACGTGGTGAACATGCGGCGCGGCGTGCAGAGTGTTGTGAATGTCTTGGAGGGGACGGGAAGTGAGGAGAATGCGGAAGTGGGCTGGGAGTTCGGATAGTTGTGAAGTGGAAATGTTCAATTTTCCAGCGAGTAGACAAAGAATCTGTTCCCGAGAATTAGCTTCCCCGCTCTCGTCCAATGCATCAATGACTATCAGCACGGGTGCAGCGATGACGTTTGACGCTATGTTGGTCGGTCCCACAATCAGTTTTTGCCATTGTTTTGTGACATCTGCAGTCCGCTTGAGGTCGTCGTCATCACGGACTGCCTGCGCCAAGGCTCGCCGTACGATAGGGTTGCGGCCTGCCAAATCGCTTGCGATGGTCCTGAATATTTTATTCTGACGGCGATCCCCTTGCTCAGTACGATCGAAGCAGAAGCATGAGCCAAGACCACCGCGTTCCATGTACCAGTTGGCTATTGTATGGGCGACAGCAGATTTACCCTTGCCTGCTGTGCCAAACAACCAGAAGATGCGTGGAACATCCTCCTTAGTGTTGCTGATCCAGTTCTTGATATCATTCAGAAGGTCTTGCCGAGTATTTGGCAAACAACATTTAGACGTATTTAACCCGGCTCCCGTTGCGTACTCCATGCCTACGAGGTCCAAACTCTCAACTATGCCAGGAATCGTAGAATGTCAGCTGAGGCTTAAAGAGACCTGAAAACTGACTCATACCCATATGGTGGACGATCACAACGGTATCACGAGCCGCCAGATCTCGGAATTGCTGCATAAGACTGTCGAGGACATTGTTGTAGTTCTGGATCATGGTGTCCGTGTCGCTGAGAACGTGCTTGCCAAGTCTTATCCCTATACGAACAGGTAACATTGAGTTTGGTGAATAAAGTAGTGGGATCGACTCACAGGCGCTCTTCGTCTCGGCATAATGGCTGATGAAATCAGCGCACACCAGTGTCTGCTGTGCTATCTTCACGTATATCGCTAGCATAGATTCAATCTTGACCAATTCCTCCTTCTCCGTGATGAAAGTATAGACTTCGGATATCTTTGAGAGCAGAAGGGAAACACCGTCATCACGGTGTGCCTGATCGAGAATCATCTGTTACCGAGACTTTGTCAACCTGCAACGGCGATGATTGAGTAAGAGGCCTACCTTGGATGCGCAAGTGAAGATGCTCAGCGCCACCTTTGCATAGGGATGGACCTGCACACGAATGTTAGTCGCGTACAGAAGAGATATGGATGGTTTGTACATCTGCAATCGCGTTGGCGATGGAGTTGAACGCCTTCAAGGGTTTGAGCAACACGGAAAACGTATCGATCGTATCAGAAACAGATGGTAGGTCGTTGGTCGCGGAAGAAGTATCTTGGAGTATTGTTGGGACGTGGCCGGCGTCTGCGAGACTTTTGTTAGCATTGGCGATTCTATCGTGCACAACCTTCGGGTCGAGATGTTCGGCCTAAGGATAGACGTCAGGACATCGTCGAAAGAGATGGATGAAAATATTCCGAACTTCGTTAGTCGAACTTATCTCTATGAACCCTGAATTGGAAGACTGCCCAACATCTGGTTCCAGAGTGGGAGGTGTGAGATCCTGCAACAGCAATTAGTACCAATCGCAGCACAAGGGGCACATTCAAAGTTTAGATTACGCTTACCTTAGTTGACTGAACAGGTTGGGTGTCCTGCAGGCTGGAACTTGCAGCCGTGGATTCAGGATTGGGGGGTTGTCGAGCGCTTCGAGCGAAGCGCTTGGTCACCTTGCCAAAGATCCCGAAAACTGACCCCGAACGTCTTTCATGAGACCCATTCCTCGAAGGCGAGAGAGAGGACGGCTGTAACGATTAGATATGATGTAAATGCTAATATGAAAGTTCATACATCGTGACTGGCTGTCGTCCTGCCTCTCTCCTCTACCAAATGAGGGTTTGAATGAGTTGGCTTCGGTCGCCCCCAGCGTTTCTTCCGAGGAGGATTGTTTGCATCCATGCTGTAAGTGGGAAAGATATGTGGATGTGCGGATGGAAGTAGGAAGCGTGGTGGGTAGCGAATAGGATGGACTGGCGTTTACATGTTTGCGATGAGGATTATTATGTATCAGTTATGAACCTGTGGTTGGAAGCACCCCGTTATCCTGAACTATTAATAGCATATTATCTCATGAGGATTTCGAGTGTCCTATAGATCGTAGGAGATGGTCGATGATCAAGTAGATCTTTGATAGCGATGTACAGAGCACAGGTTGGCTGAAATTCCTGTATACTCCAAGGTGACGAGGTAGCAGCACGCTTGCGACGTCACTCTGGTATCCAAAATGTGATTGGAAATGTGACATGGCTATGCAGGGTGATTCGTATCAGGAACGTGCCCGTGCAAGCGCCCATATCGTGCCAGAACCGAATTTCCACACGAAACCTCATGGAAGGCCTGCGGTTACCCGTGCGTTCAAGCGAAAGCACCCAAGACAGGTGACTCTTGTTGGTTTCTTACGGTTGAAGAAGCGCTCAGTGACGAACTTGAAATTGATGCAATGCACCAGCGTGATTGGTTGATCTGTCGGACAAATGTTGTACCAGTGTTTTCTGAATTCTGGACCCGGAAGTTGGAGATGAACGATATTGAACAGCATCCAGAAACATGCCGTCAAGTTGCGGTGAGAGCGGGAGGCGGGCCTTGAAAATAAGAAAATTTCCTGACTGAAGGCATACCATGACCACTAGTACGTCAATGATTTGGAGCATACCAGAATTTACATAAATGCGTTTGAGTCAAAGCTCCAGGGAAAGGGATGCACACCAGCTAAGAGCTTGGACATGAAGATATGGAAGGCGGTAACAACGACCACCTGAGTGGCAGTACTTGGTACCGATCAACTTGATACGGCTGCCACCAACTTGAAAGAGATCTGCAGTAAGTGATGGTAGCCGCTTTTATTTGTGCATGCTTGGTTCACACCCCGACGAGGTGATCCCGCTTTTATACTAGTTTCACCCCAACAGTATCAGCTGCCCAAGTTTTTGAGACTGCGCTCGTCCTGCTCTCGTCTATAAGATCATCCTTCCCCTTTCCTCCAGCTTCTACATCCAACATGCCGACAAATGCGAAAAAACGACGGCGCGAATCTGAAGACTGGGATTATGCTGATCTTAGTAGGCCTGACCCAATGTACAAGAGGACAGCCCCAGCATGCATTCCCGCGTCATCTTCCACTACTTTCAGGGTCAACACTACCACCAAAGGCCCCGATCCGAATCTAATGTCTTATAGTTCTACCTTTGACAGCAAGGCTCCTTATAGCTATTCATACACCCCCCCTACTACTTCTGTGATGACGATGCCATCAGTTCCATATTCTTCATACAACTACAGCTACCCGTATCCCCAATCTACCCACCCTCATGTGGAGCCTCAGCCCCCAGCTCAAGAGGCCCTACCACCTCCCGTCAAGAAACAAAGGAAGAAGAAAGACCCTAATGAGCCTGCGCCAGAGAAACGCGGTGCAATGTTCAAGAAAAAGTGTCCGCAGAATATTCTTGATCGTGTAGATAGGGTCATGTCGCAAAGGTAACGTATTTCTCCTGTATTCGGTAGAACATGTCATCGATCACGACCAAGATTTTTCATGGTCGACCGAAAGCGTACCGGCGACGAGCTACGTGAGGAGTTTAGCGTGTTAGGCTCTACAGGGAATGTGAGTACTCTTCTATTTGGTCACTTAACACGCTTACATCAACATAGGTGTATACTGTTGTCATCGATAAAACACCATCCTGCAACTGCATGTCGCGTTTTCTTTCGCTTTCAATTAGCCCCTGACTTTCGGCGTTTGACAGGTCCAGATGCCAACAAGGGTAATCACTGCAAGCACATAGTAAAGCCGCTCTTACTTCGTATCACCTCCATATCTAATCATCTTACGTTAAGTTGTTCATCTTTTTGAAAGGTGATCGTAGTTCTATTTCCACCATGCAAACGACTGAACTTCCGCTATAGTCCTTCAAGTCAGCCAGAGCTCCGGCTTGTGGTACCAAAAGTCAGTACCTCATGTCGATACAGCTTTCATTACTCAATTACCACCCATAGAGCACTTCTTACCTCTGAACTTCAAGAAATATTCGCGCATGCGCCTCCAGCACCCAACTCTGTTACCAATCAACGTGTTCGGGATGCATATGCACGTGCAACTGGCAAGGCTACTACTACCCCCTCTGAAGAGTCTGAGCCTGTGAAAAAGCGCCGTGCGCCTGGCCCAGAGGACGACTGCCCCATCTGCTACGAGAGCATGCACGGCGCAGACGAGAATACCCTCATCTGGTGCGAGACTTGTGTGAATGCCGTGCACAAGGAGTGCTTCACACAATGTACACGCCATATACTTGCTACCATTGAAATATGGGACTGATGCATTGACGTAGGGGCTAAATCCTGTGGACGCAACATTACTTGTGTCTTCTGCCGTTCCCCATGGGTCAACGTTAGCACGGGTGGGCAGGCTGCTGGGAAGGGAAAGGCGTCAGTGTCAGAGGGATATATTAACCTTGGTACTGTTGCGGGTTTGAGTCAAGAGCGCGATACCAGCTCCTGTGCGTCCATTTTTGATCTCTTTCACGATCCCTCTTATCCTTTTGATAATCGGCGCCTATCTCGTCTGATTAATTCTCACTAACCATCACTTGCTGTAGATTATCATGGCTCCAGGCGTGGGTATCGGCACTACGGTTATCAAGATTATGAAAACCTACTTTAGGCAAAGGACCGGGTTCTATCTTTCATGCGTACCCGTGTTCCGGCCCCTTGATCTATCATCTCGTACATTTTTTTTCAATTTACGTCCCTTGCATTTCATCACAGTACAACATCATTTAAATCTCTTGCACGTCTATACGATTGCGCCCTGCCGCCTTAATCGTTAGTGTACATGTCACTGATCGGTCCTAGTACTACTAGTATCTTCGAATCTTGGTTTCCAAATCTGCCCGCCTCGAGGCGCTCAAGTCAATCGCTAAAAAGGGTGCGTGGTTGCTGATTGTTCCTTTTTCTGATGCACGTGTATGCGTTATCCAGCCATATCGCCGGGTTATCCTATGTCACGGCCTTTTGCATATGTTTTAATACAGGATAGTATTCCCAAAGTCTCCCCAGTACCAGGAGACACTGGGTATATCATCATTTGGCCGGCAATCATTCACTGAGACACAGCGATGTCGGGAAAATATCGTTACTGGCATATGCCTTGTTCCCTCCGAAAAACGTAGGGATTCGTCAGGCTCCATATCATGCAACTTTGTACGACTGCCAGCATCTACGGGAGATACTCCTAAGACCTATCATCTGAACATGTCACCCTCAGTGTACTGAACTCTGCAATGGTATATTCAGATAGATCCTGCGGTGAAATCTGTGTTCGACATGCAGTCCTTGGATGAGTGTGAGATGTTGATGGCGTGTTTTACGTGATTGGGCTGGTCCTGCCTATTCTAGGGATTTCTAGAATATGACCGAGTCAACAACTTACTTCGGTGGCGCTATACGGAGAAAGGCGACTTTGGTACCCCGGACTAGCCCAGAATGTTTGGCTTTTGGCAGGTGGCCAGATTGTCGGGAAACGGAGTACATATACTTGCTGTGTAGGATTAATAGCAGTGTCCGCGCTTGTCTGCGGGACCCGGATCGCAGTAGACACAGTCATTAATCCAGCGCTCCGACGATAAAGCTTGTATTACATAAGACTGGACCTGCCCTCACTGCACTGGAGCACGTTCCGCCATTTGTCATTCAAAGTTGAGTTTTGCATGGAGAATGATGAAATCGAATGTTCACCCGGTATCAATGTACGTCTCGCCTTGATCTCAATCGGTGACTAAACACTTCCGATAGCGTTCATGAGAAATACCTGTCAGATGATCACTCGTCTTACAGAGCCTGAGCGCCGAGCGCTCTCGGACTGCATGACTCCGCCACTGGACATGCGTTAAAATTGCTGTATTTTCATCGGCTCCGCCGCGTCACGGGCCGTCCGCCTGATACTAATGGCTAGTATTAAAGCCATGCCATCTTAGTCCTGTAGCATCTCATCCTGCCAGTGGTTTCCATCGAATCATGCTCAACTTCCCTTGGGCTCGACGTATCCTACCTCGAACTGGCACGCAGAAAGAGAGAACGCCGTTTCTTGAACGAAGACTTGGGGTATGGCGCATACTGATCGCCGCTGACGAATCATCATCATTCAGGCTCCCCAATCTTCAATGGGGTGTTGTATCAACACACTTCCCCCTGTTGATTCGCGCATACAAGGATTTTCACTCTGTCAGTCCAAAGTTGTTTTGGCTCCTGATGGTTACAAATCTCTGGTATGCGATTGAGGACCCACTGTCCCTCTATTTCTCAAACCGCCTTTTACTTCTTGTGGGTGAATTCTTCTTAACTTATGACTCGCATATATTCACCGTTCCCGAAGATCCAACGCTCTGTTTTGGAAGGCAAGATTCACACGAGTCTCGACAAAGATCTATGTATAGCCATCATCGCCCGAGCTTCATGCTCCGCGTTCAGCGGATTTGTGCAGTGGGCTTCGTAAGGTTTCATCGGATTTGGCCGAATCACGTTAATTGGAGGTAACAATAGCAATGGTGTAAAGGATCAATACCGCATGCTCGTCTGTTACCGATTTCAAGAGTGGTTGCTGCGAGGTATCCGCACCTTGATCTTCATCTCAACGCTACTGAAATGCCTTGTTAGCAAATCTTGCGCGTGACATTGAGGCATCTCAAGGTTGGTGTTGCTCATATGATTTGTAGGATGACGAGCTCAAGTCGGGTATGTAAAAGATAACGAGGCGGGTCTTACAGTCAACACTAAGCAAGTGTTTTACTGCCTTGTACGATTAATCGATCTTGGAAAGGAGATTATTTCGTTTCTACTCCAATTGCGATTATTGCTGCATCTCCTGGGCTCCGAATTTGCGAGTGCTGGACTTGCCTCGATCGTAATGTGTTTTTTGCCCCTGATATTGGACAATATGTGGGACAATGAACTCTGGAGCAAAGGTTTGTGCTCCTGTTTACTTCATTTGATCGACCTGACATTCGTAGCTTACGTGAAACAGGCAGTCAATGACGACTATTTGCGGCAAGAGGCCTTGACCTCACTTGCAAAACATACATACAAAGCTGAGGTGATGGGAGGTAACTTATCAGGTTATCTTTTAAATGGTCGTGTATTGAGTATCTTTGAGTTTCAAAATCACTCACATAAACTCTTAGAGTACCAGAAGGTGCACGATGCACTTAGTCACATACCTAACGGAGACGTCGAGGATCTGTGGAAAAGATCAACGACTGCTTTGCCTAGTATGTTCTCGAACCTCTGCAATGACGGACCCATGGTAGGTTTATGCAATTCTATATGCCTATGTTTCTGATGTGTTGCCAGCTCTATATCGGGCTGTTGGCCCTCATGAATCCAAGTCAGGTATCTGTCGTTCAGCTAGCTATGCTAGAACAAGCTGCCACACGTCTTCGATACACATTTTCCTTCGCCAAGCACATCATTAGCCTTTATCCGACTGAATTGGCTGGCTTGAAGAATTTCTACAGACTTCTCGATCTTAAGAACAAGATGAAAGATGGTTGTATGCCGTATTCACCGGCAGCCGGTTCTTCGGGTCTCTCGTTAGAAGTTCGGTACGAATCTCGGGTTTTGCGCGGTTGTTGTTCTTCATATTTTCAAATCGACAGAAACGTATCGTTTAACTATCCGGGCGCCAAGTCAGAAAGAGATGCATTGAAGGATGTTTCTTTTTCGATAAAAGCAGGTCAATTGGTGGTCATCGTCGGCGCAAACGGCTCAGGAAAATCGACCATACTCAAACTTCTGACTCGCTACTACGACACTACCTCAGGCACTGTCTTAATCGATGGAAATCCCATCGAAGACTATCGAATTGCAGACTTGCGGTCTGTGACAGCCAGTCTAACGCAGGAGCACACCTTATTCCCCCTCTCTATGAGCGAGAACATCGGGATCGGGTCACCATCATCTGTAACAAATCTCGACAAGATTGCTCAAGCTGCGAAGTTAGCTGGTGCTCAGGACGTTATCAAGAACTTCACCGACGGATATGACACTGTCCTCGAACCTGTCAAGACCGCCCATCTTAGCTATACAGGGAGGGGGAACGAGGTCCTAAAAAATGAGTACGAGAAGATGGAGAAAACAACAAACGTGTCTGGTACGTCTCATTTACTAGGATGGTGCGTGTACTAATGACGCTTAGGCGGAGAGAAACAAAGACTGGTTGCGTGAGTCCACTCATCCTGCGTCATTGACGTTGAATTAACTCGCGCAGCTCCCGGACGTTTATGCGTATGCTGTCCGAGGACATCAAGTTTGTTATAGTCGACGAGCCGAGCTCCGCTCTTGACCCAGGAGGCGAATACGAACTATTCAAGCAGCTCAGGGAGGCGCGCAAAGGAAGAACCATGATATTCGTCACACACCGTTTTGCGCATCTCACCAAGTTTGCCGATCTCATCTTGTGCGTATCTCTTTTTGATCATCGACTTCCATTCTGATGCGAACGACGAATGTAGGTGTATGAAGGGAGGAAGTGTGATTGAGATGGGAACGCACCAAGAACTGCTGAACCATCAGGGAGAGTATGCTCATTTATATAACGTCCAAGCGCAAGCTTTTACTTGAGACGTACCGAACCATCAAGGATGGCTCTCATAAAATTCCAGCTAGTATACGTCGGCAAATGGGATTACGCTACTTAACAATGATATTCACTTCCGTACAACGCAAAATAGATTATAAAACCTGTACTTATCGCATAGAACATGTATATCGCAGTCCCACACATGTCTGACGGTCCTCGAATGCTGGCACCAAGAATATGTTCTCGATCCCCATGAATTGGTAACACGACAATTATCGATCCTTGTGAGCCGATCACTGATGCGGCGGCTACAGACGCCGCCGCAAGTGCTGTGCATCTCAATATAGGTTCCGCCAGCTTAGAATTTCGTTTTGATATATTCCCTCTAAACGTATATATTCGTCCAGCTAACAGGTACGGCGCAACAACTTCCCATCTTCGACGACCATGAACAAATTTCATATACAACAATCAAGTAAAATCGCTTTACATCAAGGACTCGAGATTCCGGCCGAAGAGCTGCACAAACTTGTTATGAAAAGCATTATGTATGCATCATGTCGATGCACCATGGTCTCATCTTCCTGTTCAGGAGCATTTGGCAGGTTGTATACCTGTGCGCGTTAATTAGGAACTCCGTAGCAGTTCACTGATGCCTACCCACCCAACGCTTTCGAGGTAGTGTTCAGTGAAAATATCCAAGGCTTGGGTCTTGCCATAACATTGGTCTCAGAAAACCTTCGCAACGACACGAAGTACATTACATCGTGGACCTCATTGGGATGGAGTACGTCAACTCCAACCAAATACCACTTGAACCACTGATCACAGTTATTTGTTAGCGAATGACATGATAACCTATGCAAGTCAACGATTCACTTCCGACGTCATCCCGGTGGCTCACAAAAAGTAGGGCAATTTGATATACCTCGCTCTCATAACAGAACGTATACCCATAGTAATCCTAAAGCTCCTCTCTACGCATATCGACCCAAACGCACCTCCATTTATTTTCGGGGAAGTATTTGACGTCCCTCGACTCAGTCAAGCCTCAGGGATTCACTTGCTTCAATGACACGAAGTAAAGGATCCAGAAAGTCAGGTTGTCGATGATCTTGGTTGTTGGACTGTTTGAGAAACCGTTCAACAGCACATCGAGATTCCTGAACCACGACGAAGTCCCTCGCTGAACCTGCTCAAGCTTGGTGAGACAACTTCGAACATCCCTTTTCGGTGATTAAACGCGCGACAATCACAGATGTCTCGTCGACACGAACCCCAGCTTGAGTCGAGCTGACATCTCCTAGCATACACCACAATCATGCATCCTTTTGGTCCCTCACATCACTTGGGTTTCCAGAGGCTCGCTCAAAAATCCTGGAATTATCATTAACGAATCGTCCTTCTCCTCAGCACCAGGTTTCCCTTCCTCCGGACGATCACGTATTATGTTTCGATTTCTTTTACTACATAAGCGCCCATCATACATGGGAATGGGAATCAGACTATTCTCCTGCATGGAGATTTGTGGGCCAACACATACGATGGGCTGCAAGCATGGAAAACATTGCCGATGGGCATGCCCGACGCGCCATGAATGTACCAGTAACTGACCCAACACCTCCTGTGAGTGAAAGTTTCGGACATAGGTTTCTCTACAGATCTAATTTTTGATAGTATATATCGATCCACATACGGCATGGTGACTTCAGCCAGCAATGCGGGGGAGTTTCCAGTGGACCAGTGCTTCGCCCCGTTGTCTATTATTGCGCGCGGGGTGCCTGAGGTGCAAGAAGAGCTTCGCACACAAAAAGGGATTGATGCCACGCATATTATCATGACGAGCGACGAAAGGGGCCCGGAATGGTGGTTAGATGTTAGAGCGTTGGGGTGGACGTGGGTAGATTATGCAGCGGAGCGGACAGAGGAGATCTATGGAAAATGGTGAGCCGGTTAGATGTCATGTTTTCATTCTGACGCTAACTTAAGTTGTGGCTGCTACCAGGCATCTGGTGTTCATTAGTGCTATCATTTAGTCGAATGGAACTAGCTTCGTTGGCACTCGTGGTTCCACAATATGCACACTAGCTAGCCGCAGAGTACGGTCATGGCATGACGGAGCGACTCGGCTCATTAGATGGGAGTGGCCGGGCGCGGACGACCACTGATGCTGATTAGAATGCTAGAATCGAGACTACTTTGGGCTTCAGAACTCATTCGCTATAATGTTATATTTTCTATTTATGATGCGCATGATGGTCGCTCTCGGGCTCGAATTCACAGACGAAAGCAACAAAAGCTTAATCTTCTTGGTGCGCAGTACTGGTCACGTTCCCTTCCTGACGGGGCTCAACAATCAAGACACACCATAGATATGCAGATACTTTATACTACTCTACAGCGAGCCGTAAGGTGAGCGGCCATGAGACATAAGACTTGAGCCTGAAAGTTTGTGGCACAGGTATGAAACTCGCTTGATGTCTCGAAATTGAGTGGTGATGAAAAGCATGTCCTTAGGAGGGTATTCAAAACACTTACGATCTATATTTCAATATGATTGTGTAGATGATGCTTACTATAATCGTGTACAAAAAGATCCGATGCGAAACGGTGAAAGGAACGCTTGAAATGCGAGCTCGCTGTAGCAGACAGTGAGCACGAAGGTTTATGGGACTTGCCGAACGTTTGAGCCAAAAATGTCAGGGCACGATATTAATAGCATGCCGGGACGTTGCCGAGGTGCCCTGCTGATTTTTGCCAAGTACCAATAATTATCGATATTATCCATCGCATAGCTGTATCTATCTGTACTTAGAGGGGCCCTGGCGACCAACATCCACGTCTAATTACAAGTTACGTAGGAGAGTCGTAGGAGTCACAGGTGGGTGGCACATCAATAAACCGGTGAGTTCTTGCTGGGGATTATGCTGATTATGATGCTCACTGCTTTTACATAGTCATATATCACTGCGACGAAAACCTTTCCTATATAACGATTAATGACGATGTCTTCTTCCCACGGGTTCTCTGATAGCCCACCTCACTAGTAGGCTCGGTGACTAAACACTTCCGACATCATCAGAAATGATCAATGATCACTCATCTTACAGGACTAGCTGCGCTCTTGGACTGCGTGTCAGACTCCGCCTCTGGACATGCGTTAAAATTACTGTATTTTCATTGGCTCCACCCCGTCACCAATACTAATAGCTAGTATTAAAGCCATGCCAATCCTGTAGCATCGAGTCATCCTGCCAGTGTTTTCTCTCCAATCATGCTTAACTTCCCTTGGGTTCGACGTATCCTACCTCGAACTGGCACGCAGAAAGAGAGAACACCATTTCTCGAACGAAGGCTTGGGGTATGGCGCGTACTGATCGCCGCTGACGAATCATCATCATTCAGGCTCCCCAATCTTCATTGGGGTCCTGTATCGACATACATCCCCCTCTTGACTCGCGCATACAAGGATGTTTACTCTGTCAGTCCAAAGTTGTTTTGGGTCCTGATGGCTACGAATCTCTGGTATGCGATCGAGGACTCACTGTCCCTCTATTTCTCAAACCGCCTTTTACTTCTTGTGGGTGAATTCTTCTTGACTTGTGACTCACATATACTAATTCACTGTGCCCGAAGATCCAACACTCTGTTTTGGAAGGCAAGATTCACACGAGTCTCGACAAAGATCTATGTATAGCCATCATCGCTCGAGCTTCATGCTCCGTGTTCAGCGGATTTGTGCAGTGGACTTCGTAAGATCCTCTCCAATTTGGCTGAATCACGTTAATTGGAGGTAACAATAGCAATGGTGTAAAGGATCAATACCGCGTGCTCGCCCGTTATCGATTTCAAGAGTGGTTATCCGCACTTCAATTTTCATCTCAACGCTACTGAAATGCTCTGTTAGCAAATCTCGCTCGTGACATTGAGGCGTCCCAAGGTTGGTGCTGGTCATATGATTTGTAGGATGACGAGCTCAAGTCTGGTATGTAAAAGATAACGAGGCGGGTCTTACAGTCAACCCTAGCCAAGTGTTTGACTCCCTTTTACGATTACTCGACCTTGGAAAGCAGATTATTTCGTCTCTACTCCAATTGCGATTATTGCTGCATCTCCTAGGCTCCGAATTTGCGAGTGCTGGACTTGCCTCGATCGTAATATGTTTTTTGCCCATGATATTGGACAATATGTGGGGCAATAAACCCTGGGGCAAAGGTTTGTGCTCCTGTTTATTTGATTTGATCGACCTGACATTCGTAGCTTACGTGAAACAGGCAGTCAATGACGACTACCTTCGGCAAGAGGCCTTGACCTCACTTACGAAACATACATACAAAGCTGAGGTGATGGGAGGTAATTTATCAGGTTATCTTTTAAATGGTCGTGTGTTGAGTATCTTTGAGTTTCAAAATCACTAACATAACTCTTAGAGTACCAGAAGGTGCACGACGCACTTAGTCACATACCTAACGGGGACGTCGAGGATCTGTGGAAAAGATCAACGACCGCTCTGCCTAGTATGTTCTCGAACCTCTGCAATGACGGACCCATGGTCAGTTTATGCAATTTTATACGCCTACGTATCTGATGCATTGCCAGCTCTATATCGGGCTGTTGGCTCTCATGAATCCAAGTCAGGTATCTGTCGTTCAGCTAGCTATGCTACAACAAACTGCCACACGTCTTCGATACACGTTTATTTTCGCCAAGCGCATAATTACCATTTATCCGATTGAATTGGCCGGCTTGAATAATTTCTACAGACTTCTCGATCTGAAGAACAAGATGAAAGACGGCTGTATGCCGTATTCGCCGGCAGCGGGTTCTTCGGGTCTCTCGTTAGAAGTTCGGTACGAATTCCGGGTTTTGTGTGGTCGCTCTTCATATTTTCATCGACAGAAACGTATCGTTTAACTATCCGGGCGCCAAGTCAGAAAGAGATGCATTGAAGGATGTTTCTTTTTCGATAAAAGCAGGTCAATTGGTGGTCATCGTCGGCGCAAATGGCTCAGGAAAATCGACCATACTCAAGCTGCTGACTCGCTACTACGACACTACCTCAGGCACTGTCGTAATCGATGGAAATCCCATCGAAGATTATCGAATTGCAGACTTGCGGTCTGTGACAGCTAGTCTAACGCAGGAGCACACCTTATTCCCCCTCTCAATGAGCGAGAACATCGGAATCGGGTCACCATCATCTGTAACAAATCTTGAGAAAATTGCTCAAGCGGCGAAGTTAGCTGGTGCGCAGGACGTTATTCAGAACTTCACCGACGGATATGACACTGTTCTTGAACCTGTCAAGACTGCCCAAATTAGCCTTACAGGGAGAAGGAACGAGGACCTAAAAAAGGAGTACGAGAAGATGGAGAAAACAACAAACGTGTCTGGTACGTCTCATTCGCTAGGATGGTGCGTGTACTAATGACGCTTAGGCGGAGAGAAACAAAGACTGGTTGCGTGAGTCCACTCATCCTGCGTCATTGACGTTTAATTAACTCGCGCAGCTCCCGGACGTTTATGCGTATGCTGTCTGAGGACATCAAGTTTGTGATAGTCGACGAGCCGAGCTCCGCTCTTGACCCAGGAGGCGAATACGAACTATTCAAGCAGCTCAGGGAGGCGCGCAAAGGAAGAACCATGATATTCGTCACACACCGTTTTGCGCATCTCACCAAGTTTGCGGATCTCATCTTGTGCGTATCCCTTTTTGATCATCGACTTCCATTCTGATGCGAACGACGAATGTAGGTGTATGAAGGGAGGAAGTGTGATTGAGATGGGAACGCACCAGGAACTGTTGAAGCATCAGGGAGAATATGCACATCTATATAACGTCCAAGCGCAAGCTTTTACTTGAGACTTACCGAACCAACAAGGATGGCCCTCATAGAATTCAAGCTATTAGTATACGCCGGAAAATGGGATTATGCTAGGTAACAATGATAGTCACTTCCGTACAGTGCAAAATAGATTATAAAACCTGTACTTATATCGCATAGAACATGTATATCGCAGTCTTACAGATTTTCAACGTCCTCAGATGGGCCTGGCACCAAGAATATCCCCATGAATTGGTAGCACGACAATTCTCGGTCCTTGTGTGGGACTACAATCGATCACTGACGCGGCGGCTACACCAGAGAAACTGATGGGTTCACGTCAGTCCAGGGGTATCGTAATCGTCCCATTACATGATTTACTGTGGAAGGAAACTGTTGTCAGCACTTCCACAGAAGAGTACTATGATAACGACAAGTTCGAGACGAGGAAGCGGAAACATTTTCAAGATTTTCGAGAAAGACCGACGACCTTCGGAGGGACGGTGTGTAAGGTAATAAACTCAAAGTGCAGCCTATTATCGTAACCACTATGAACAGCAGGTACGACAGTCAAATGAAAGATCATAATGTTTGACAGACCTTCAAGAGAATCCCTCGGGTAAGATGGATATTTGACACCTCGAGTTCAGGTAAAAGTCGAGATGCATGGGCCAGCTAACGCTTTTGAATGACATGTTGTTATTGAGGTTGTATTAAGGGCGTCTTAGGGGACCCCCAGCAAGGCTAATGATTACTTGTATGTTCTGCAATGACAGACGGTGATTCTATACCATCGACGTACGCTGCAAGAAACGTAGCCAAACTTTCTTGAGGATGTAGTTCAAATAACCCACGTCGGGGATCGACAAGTGTTACGAACACTCGGCACTTATGGTCGAACTTGAAGTATGGGGGAATAAATTCACAACCCTTTTATCATCCCCGATGACGCGGAACCTCACTAATTAGAGCCATACTAAACGTCAGAGATCTGAAAGGGAATCGCATAGGAACTCACGTGGAGTGAACGGCTGTCCTTTGCCTTTCCGAATACTAGTAAAATAAAGAGTACCGGAGCCCTGGTGACCCTTTAAACGGAAACTTAGGTCCACATTGCCTTGTGGAAGGTTAATCTAAGCAAAGAGATTAAGATGAAGTGAATACTTCGACAACTGATTGTACTTACCGAGCCATTTATCCAAGGGTCGCCATTCAAGTACCAGGCAGGTTCAGGTCGGATTGCATCTCCCAGCATATCCTTCAGTTCTTCATTATCCCTAACCGTCTGCATAATATGCTTTACAACAGAGCTCGATAGTTTCTCTTGGTTCGTCGCGAAGAGTAAAAATGCAGCCCAAGCGGAAACCCCGAGGGTGGCGAATGCAAGAATGAACGGCCAACGTTTCTGTATTGTCGAATAAGTGGAATGCGTGCACGTAGACGCGAAGCGCAAACCTGAATGTGAGGAAGGTCAGCCTTAAGAGGAGGTCTAGTGTAATATAGCCTTGGTTTCGAAGGTGCAGAGAACGTTTCAACATGAGGTTCTTCGGTAGGAGGAGGGGGTCGCGGGAACTTGGTTACTGTCGCATAACCCCTTGATGTAGCTCCCCCAAAGCTTCTGTCCAAAACTGAGAGATTTCTTGCGCGTCGAGTGATGGACATCATTGTCACAGTCAAGGAAGCTTGCATTACTAGGTGAGGAAAGCCAGATAAGTTATGCGGCATAGCACAGCCACATCAGTTTTCCGTAAATATCCTTCCGAGTTTTGAGTCAGGGCATCCACATGATTTCGACATCATGTCCCTAAGAGCTAGTTCGGTAACCCAAGGTAAAGTAAATTTGCCAACTTCAAGGATGATGTAAGGCCGGCACAGTAGGTGCCGATAGCTGAGTTTCAACCTTATGATATCAATATTAGTAGGACTTGTTATCCATCGCGCTCATTGCTTTAGGGATAGATTATGGATACCATTGACCCCTTGCTCCAACAACTCGCTCAAGCCCAGGCTGTTCAGCCGCCAGCTGCAGGCCGTCGGCAGAATCATATGCGAATCCTACGTCACATTGCACTACTCGTCAGTGTCCTTCTGACTGCTACGCACTCATTGCTTCAGGACTCTGTACCTGAGGCATACCACACATCGGCCCTCTCAGGTGAAGAATGGGTCATGGAACTCATCACTGGTCACCCGGATCGTATGCGATGCGAACTTGGCATGCATGCAGATGTCTTTCACGCGCTCATAGCCGAACTTCGTGTTTTGGGTTATGCTAGCTCACGCCACGTTTCGCTCGAAGAGCAACTTGCCATCTTTCTATATACGTGCGTTACAGGGCTAACGATCCGTCATGTCGGGGAGCGTTTTCAACGGTCAAACGACACCATCTCAAAGTAAGTTTGTTTTTAATGTTATTTATGATGAGCTCACAAATAATTCCAGGTATTTCCGGAAGATCTTGTTTATCTTTGCGTCCCCCCCGTTCTACACAACATACGTATGTTCTCCCAACGACACCGATGACATCTCCAGCAACATCCGTAACAATCCAAAATTCTGGCCTTACTTCAAGGACGCTATCGGTGCGATCGACGGCAGCCACATCCATGCTCGCCCCTCATCATCTGATCGCCCCTCGTATCGTAATCGCAAAGGTTTTATTTCTCAAAACTGTCTATTCGCCTGCACCTTCAACCTCAAATTCTCCTACGCTCTCACTGGCTGGGAGGGATCCGCCACAGACGCACGCCTCTATGACGAGGCTCGTTCAGGCAGTTTGTATATCCCTCCCGGCAAATATTTCTTAGCGGATGCGGGATTCCCTTTGTGTGACGAGCTCTTAGTCCCCTACCGCAGTGTCCGTTATCATTTGGCTGAATGGGGACGTGCTAATCTTAGGTATGTTTTATTTATTTTATATTTTAGGTTTTTTAATAACTATTCTATGTTTGCAGACCAACAACCAAAGAAGAGCTCTTCAATCTGCGACACTCATCCGCTCGAAATGTGATTGAGCGGATCTTTGGCGTGTTAAAACGCCGTTTTCGTATTCTGTTGCTCTCACCTGAATATCCTATGACCATCCAGGCACGTATACCTGCTGCGCTATGCGCGATTCACAATTTCATATCGACTCACAACCCTGACGACAACGTGCTCCCGGACGACGACAATGAACACTTCGATTACGACAACCCGGAGCACCAAGGGATCCCCGATGATGAGGAGGAGTTTGACGGAGCGGGAGGCATGAAGGAAGTGCGCAATCGTATTGCGCGCTGCATGTGGGAAGATTATCAGACTGTTTTGCAGCAGCGGGGCCTGCTAGATGACTCCTTTGAAGATTCTGACAATGATATGTAGCACTGTAGCACGACTCTCATGTATCCGCCGCCATCAAAGCACAAGATGTTTGCATTACCATGCTTCAACTACTGCATTATCATCATATGTTGTGTCAATAGCGCATTTTACATGAGTATACTAACTACCAGGCGCAGGAAGTTGAAGTCCCAACCGCTGGGCTGTGGAAAGAATAAAAGCACGGCGCATCTCCTTGTCAGCAGTCTGTGTGTATATGTCAGTAGCTGCAGGGTCCATAGAAAAAACCTGTTGTATTATAAGCCGCTCTGCGAACGGCAACTCTGCATCCTCAACCTGCAACATCTGCATGGCCCTCGAGCGCTGGTCCATTACCCGATCCTCAGGATAGACCATGCGCTCAGCAATTACATCTGTCAAGCGATTGACAGAGCTCTGGAATCCCATCACGGCTACAGCTGTGGTGGCCTTCGATATCTTGGTGTCCAACGTGTTAGTGTTCTTGGTGGAACCGCCCTGAGTCTGTGCATGGCCTCCTGATCCACGGCCTGATGCGCGGCCTGATACTGTCTTCGCTCTTTTGATAGAGCTCGACTCGGAGGGAGGCGGCATTTGCATTTGAGAAACTGAGGTAGATGCAGATGAGGCGGTCAGCTCCATGTCGGTGTGAGAACGTTTGCCAGGAGGAGGCATGAAGGACGGAGAAGCAGGAGGAGGCATGAAGGACGGAGAAGTAGGAGGAGGCATGAAGGATGGAGAAGCAGGTGTAGAAGTGAGGGCAGCTGCTGCAGGGGCGGTGCTAGGACCAGCAACACCAGCACTAGATGTGGCAATAATGGGACCAATCATGGTATTGTGTTCACCTGCGGGTACGCTAGGACTGGAGCTTGAGCTTAAGGGAGGGGGGAGAGCTATATTGGGTTGGTACCCTGTGCGCCCTCGGGCGCCACTGCCTCGTGGTATTATGCCGTCCATTTGCTCGTAGTGTCTCCATCCCGATGCACGAAAAGGGCGCATGACTGAATTTCCCTATTATCAAACAGTGAGACGCATGAAATAGCATTAGTGAACTTGACGTACCTTCTTGGAAACATATTCATTCCATACTGAGGTTGAAGCCTCACCCTCGACATTTGCCCCTCTAATATTGTCCCAGTGGACACCAGACTGCTGGCGATACTTCTGAATAGCATTGAAAGTCTGCTTTAACTACACAATCTATTATCAAGTCTATAAATAAATTATATATTGATAGGACTTACTGACGCCCATTTTGTCTTACACATTGCCCCACTCTTCGCTGGACCATGCTCCAGGTACTCAGCAATAGCCTCTGCAGCGCCATTGTACGTCACATCTTTGAAGTTGCCAGCATCACCGATCTTGTCCCGATTGTTGGATAGGTAGAGGAGAAACTGATCAACCTCTGTGTCGGTCCAAACAGCCCTCTCTGTAGTAGTATGAGATGACTCCTGAGCCATGGAGAGGATGTGGACTTGAGCTGATAACACTATCGATATGACACTAGCCCAGATGTTGTTCCGATTGCATAGATCTTGAGTCGTATGCTGGGGTGTGTGATAGCTAGACATGGGATCAAAGGAAGTTCAAGCTCCGATGTCGGTCTCCAAACCGGAAGCTACTGTGCCGACCTTACATCATCCTTGAAGTTGGCAAATTTACTTTACCTTGGGTTACCGAACTAGCTCTAATAGTGTTCAAACGTTCACTGCCAAAACTTGAAACAACCCACCATGTCTCAGAGCCAGCAAGGACTGCTGTTTGGTCCCATGGTGCTGAAACGCGGCCACGATCGTCTCCGAAAGCTACGCGAGGACACAGCCTGAGGAGTGCGGAGAAGAAGGAACAACGTGATACAGATATCTCTGTTTCAGTGGCGGATGTATAAGTAATGTCCGTATATCATCAGTATACACGGATGATACATATGTAATTCAACAGACTAATCATTTTCCGACTGCGGTTGGCTTGTACCGAATTGTTCAAGGACCAACTTCAGTTATAGAATACCCCCTTGTTTCATGACTCTCAAACACGCAGCCGTTTCGCGGAGACGATTTTCGAAAGTTTTGTCCAGACAGATGAGTCTACACTTAAACTGCTACTTCATTTCGTCTGTCGACAGTTTCCAGCTTATATTCATTTTTATACAATGAGATCACCACCCACATTACAAACATCTGCCCCCACGGGATGTGACTCAGCTTCTGGGAATCCGCATAGTTCATCAAGTCATTTTTCCGGTACATGTTTCACTAATGCATTTCCTGCTATGACATCTGCGTTTGCGTTGATGCGCGCGCTAGCCTCTGAATCACCACATGAGGTATTGCATAAACTGCGGAATGTTCCTGAAAGAACGTATACTCAGGTTGCATTTTTGCGGAACTGACCTATTGCGACGATGAGGTCTTATCTTGGTAATTGTGGATTAAGAGCGTGCAGATGATGGGGCATCTGTTGTGTCATCGTGTGTTTTGCACAAGGATTTTGGATTTCGAGGCCTCTCGCGAACGTTTGCTGATGTGTAATGCATGATGAGATTCACAATATCGCTCTTCGGCGAATTACGACAATATTCATAGCACCAAAATGTATGCACACTGGGCGACAAATCTAAACAGGGTAGCCCGTGGTAGTTTCCCATCCATCAGGGATTGTCCAGTTGGCGTTACAAACGAAGTTCCAATCCGTACTCCGAATGTTCTCTTTCTGCGCGTCGACAAAAGCATGAATCGAACACATCCCATCTGGATGATCTTGACACCCATTCAGATTTGCCAGCGGCACAACGCCGTCATTAACAATCACACGAATTTGTGGGTCAGGCTCCGTGGAGCATGACAAGACTGAGGACGAAACAAAATGAGTGCGGTTTGGAATGATCGCGGGATTACTCACGCTGGAACTGTACATTGGTTGCAAATGGAGCAAGCTCTGTTGACCTAAACGTACGCCGTTTTGGTATATGATCAGTAGGCAATTGTCCCATCGCCGCAAAGCTCGAAAGATTCAATGCAGTAAGGACTGTCAATGAATGAAAATCAGGACGTTTTCCAACTTCAAGTTCATCAACGAGCTAACCATTCAATACTACAGTTTCATGCGTCGCATCCACGTAAAGGCTGTGCCCAAGGGGGAAAGTGACAGCGTTATGAAGTGTCGCATTAGTAGAAGTATTGTGCGTTTCAATCGGCGTCTGAGTGAGACGAGACACGAGCTCTTGCACATAGCCAATTCCTTCTGCCCTACCTAGAGGTGAACCCCAAGCTACATTGTACCTATGTTTCTGTCAGAACCCGATTTTCTGTTGCAAGCGAAGGAGAGAACGCACCAATAGTTAATATCGTATCTGTTTAAGATCAGCGGCGTGCAAACTGCATAGAAGAGGTTTCTTACGAATAATCAAAGCCTTCCCACTCCTTCTCCGTGAAGAGTTCGCAGAACTTGGAATAACCAAGAGCAACCGTCTCAAAGGCACACAATGTCTGCATGGCGTAAATATCTTGAACATCCAAATCAAACCCATCAAGATATTGCTGCAAACGAGGAACGGTATCCCTGAGATACACTTCTATCCATGCATTAGCGCGTGGTACACCGCGGAAGGCCCGATTTGGATTGTCACTATTGGCACAAGATCGAAAAGGAGCTAGAGTATTGTTGAACTGACATGCATGCATTATTAGTCGGGTATCTCAGAGTAGTTCAAACGACTTACACCTTTGGCCTCAATCGTGATCTCTTGTTGATACTGGCCCTCGAGAGGGTAACCAAAAAATCCGAGAGCAAAGTTATGCGCAGAATCCAACATCCGGGCTCTTCATACATCATCTTCAGAGTGCGAATTACTGACTCTTGAAATGCTTACTGGGACTCCGTTCTGAACACAGGCAAGGTATTTGTTTCGCTGAAATTCTGAATGGTTTGGTCAAATTGAAGAATAAAGCAGAAAGACATGGAAAATTTACCTTCAGAAGAAACCCGTATCTCATGCGCATCGACACGCCAAGATCGACTATATGAATATCACAATCTGTTGCCACGCGAGATGATGATTCCCTTACACAATTGAGACCTCCCGAAAGGTGTTAATCCTGACAATAATTAAGTATTGGAACTGCATTCTGATAACGTATGATGGCTACCTTCGCTTCCTAGCTTGTACGTCCTGCGGAAGTGGGGTCAGACATCGACTACCTTGTTCATTTCTAAGCAACCTCACCAGTCGTTCAAAAATGAGAGAGGTCCGGTAACGGTGACATTTTCTGCATTCTTGTTTAACTTCGAGGCAAACCCACTCGGCCCACTGGTGCTAGCTATTGCGCAATCCCTCCCTTAGAAACTATTTAAAAGTCTAGATGTGGTTGACTCACAATAGCCACCAGGGTATCGTGCACCGTGACGGTGTAGAAGATGCACGCCAGTGATGTTACAGGTATCGGGGGCTTCTGGACTAGAATCTACACCAAATTTTCCACGTGGGATGGAGTACCAGGGAGATAAGCCTCCCCAGCTACGGAAAATATTGAAGTCCTTCGTTGTGACCTTCGTGTTGTCCTTAGAAAAACGCGTAGGGGGTACAAGGTGCGCTACATTAGAATGCAAAGGATAGGCAGGAGCTGTAGCAGCTACGCCAGGCTCGGCACCTGCTTGTGTTCGACCAGGATAGCCAACACTACATGACTATGGCTCCAGCCTTGAAAAATAGCAGCAGCTAGAGAGAGACGTACTTGGATGGAAACACGGAGGGAAATCCGTTGGTGGGCTCGGCCGGAGGGTACTGGTGCCATTCGGGTGTTCCCACGTCCGTAGGCAGTAAAGCAGTGAAGGCTGAAAATGATCGGCTTGAGGCATATCGTGCAACTACAGCCAGGCATATAACGAATCCTGCAAAGAAGGCAGCGCCGACGCGTAAGAACAGTGACCGCCGCGCACTGCTAGAGTACAAGGGAGACGATGAATCGCCGGGGTAAACTCGACTCTGACCACCCATTCTCTTAACTTCGGGCGTAAACACCGGAAGAGTCGAGTCGTGTGGTGGGCCCTGCTCGGCCATGAAGAATGTTATCTTTGTGCTTTTTGAACTTGGATGGCCGACGCGACGCGTTCTTATACTAAAGTAACTAGGCCACGTAAACTATTTTGATCGACCCCAGACCATTTTCTTTTCGCTTTCTTCTCGTTTCCCTACTCTTTAGACTCGCTTTCTTGTCGCTTCGCTTATTTATGACGTTGGTGTTATGCACGAAATGATGAACTGATTCGACCATTCTTGTGGCGGTACTACTAGTAAATACAAACACGTTGCATGGACTGAATATTTTAATCCAACGCACTAGCGCTGCTGCAGCTGGTATACGTAGTGTGATTGAATTATTGGCAACACAGCTATAACCAAGAAATGTCTGGGCCAGTGTCTATTAGTTGAGTGTACAGTGCCCCTTCGGAAGTAGATCGGTTCCCAGGTGGATGACAGAACCTGAACGCATCACTTACGTCAGTACTAGTGACAAAGTCCTCAACCCATACCCGCGCAAGTCTTGGGATCCGACATTGATACTACTCACTCTTGTCGATCTCAACATGCAGCTCTCGCACTCTTTCACGGCACTCATGGCCTTTGTCTTCATTGCTGCGGCATATCCAGCACCGCATTTGTTGACGACATGTGCCAAGGATTCATGTTTCGCTCGACATAGTCAGATCAATGCTGATATCCGATGTAGCGTTGGCTAGGCCGCCGCGCCAAACTTCTAGACTCGTCATCTCAGAGTCAACGTTGCGCTGACATGCCTTCCAGTCTTGATGCGCTGTTCCGAAAAAAATTAACCGGCGACGACGGTATAGCTAGGGAGCGGGTCCCGGAAAGGAGCGGGATTGGTGTCAAGAGTTATGGGCAGGATGTGAAGATCTCTAAATAATGACAGTTAAAAGATAGAACCGATTCGACAATCAAACATCACTCGAATACCTACAATTCACTACTCTGTCGCGTGCGAGGCCGGTACTTTCGAGTTGATTTTAACACTTGTTAGAATGTAAGTTGACTCTTGAAATTGGGAGTCTGGAACAAGAAATCTCGCAAGCCCGAATTCTGCAACGAGATGAATGTTGCATGACGTATTAGCGAAAGTACATGCGAACCCCTTTAGAGGATACATAGCGCCGACACGAATCGAGTATGGGTTCCGTACTGATACTGGTGATTACTAGCCTGAAACAGCAAAGATGAACAGACGACTGGTGCAAGTAAGAATTATGGGAAGCTAACGGCCCCCGACAGGAGGCGCACCACGCCCCCTCGGACGTCCCCCTCGTCGTCCATATCCACCCCAACCTCCGACATAAGCGCCCGGGCCCATCAGTCCTACACCCCCAGGCTCACCAAATGTAGCCACGTTGCGCTCTCTTTCTTCCTCCCTACGGTTTCTGCCTCCACCACCTCGCCGTCCACCGGTGCCTCGTGTTGGTGGCGGAGCAGCTTGAGTTGAAGACGATAAAGAATCGAAAAATGATTTCGTTGGGTTATAGGCCACATCGTCTTTCTCATCCTTTTTGTCCGTCGGCGAGTCACGGTCGGAGGGAATGCCATTCTCATTATCGCCATCCTTCTTCTTCGGTGCAACCGCCGTCTTGTCGAACCGGGCGTTCGAGCTCTGGAAATCGAAATCCGTCGCAGGGACTTTAATATCTTTTGTCTCGCCACCATGACCGTGATGACCACCACGTCGGCCACCACGACCTCCATGCGCGGACGCCGTATTTCCGGATCCACGCAAGTCTCCTAAAGCGCGTTGAACTGTTTCCATTGATGCAGCAGCGGTGTGTACCGAATTGACACGACTTGGGCCAGTGCTAGGACCTGGTGAATCAGTCGTTTGCACGACAGGGATCGTCGGGGGAGCTGGCGCATCTTGCACTGGCACAGGCTGAGGATAGGCAGGAGCCTGAGCTTGTGGCGGTGGAGGCTGGGCTGCGACAGGCTGTTGGTATTGAGGACCGTATGCACCATACTGGGGTTGAGTTCCTGGAGCAGACGCCTACCATACTAGATTATTATGGAGTGTTCAGGTAGGGAACGTTACTCACCCCCAGCACCGCAGGATCGTCGTGAACACTACGCAGACTCGGAGGAGCTGGTTCATCAACTGCAAGATCTTTGACCTCAGACGCGCGGAAAATTATGTATTGGTATGGTTCTTGGACGGGAGGAATGAATTCTGAGGGTGGCCTGACGCGAGTTTGATGTCAGATTACGCGTCGTGAGGAGAAGGCGAGGCAGAAACTAGCGGTGTCAGAACAAGGACAATGGCTTACCTTCTCGACTCTGTACCCATAGAAAACACTAGAAGCCATGTAAGACCAACCGAACAACCGCAGAGAGTGAAACTCACCATTTGAAAGTTGGATCGTGGAAGCAGCGGGGTCAATACCCGCCAGTATTCCTCGATACCGTACATCAGAGTGAGATATGAGAGAAATTGGTTTTCTGAGTGGTAGTAATCAGAAACAATTGCAAAACGAGTAAAAATCTACGTACCCTATAAAGCTAAGTGCCATGGTCGTTGTCAAAGGCTAGAACTACAAGAATTGCTTTCTGTGTATTTCGTATCGCCGCCGCTCGAATTCGGCCTTTTTGAGTCGGAGCTTCAATTGGTTCAACATGACCTTCCTACTTTGGCGGCATGACACTGACAAAGTCAAGCAGTTCTGCTAGATGGGAGAGGCGATTTGCAGTTGTGCTTAACAGTTCATTGGTCACTGGTGAGTACTTGAGTGGCCGCAGGTTGCAACTGTAGAGCAAAGAGTATCGACCTGAAGGGTAAAATCATCTGTGAGTTTCAAGTCGATTTCCATTGAATCAATAATCATATCTTGATTTTAGTGACCAAACAGATCCTCAATGTCGAAGTTTGCGATGCTGAACGTTGCAAAGTTGATGCATCGATGTCCCAATGTTTCATGGACCCTCAGAGCACTGGTGATGTCATCTGTCCACAAGTTGGCTTCTCCACCATAGGCTTCGGAACTTCGGAAGCGCTGAAGTAATTGCAATTGAGGACATCAGTCATGCGTTTCAACAAATTGCAAAATATGTTCTAGGTAAGTCCGAGGCTTGAGTGCGATACTCATCGTGTTGAAGGCCATAGTATGAATCGTATAGCTTTGAACTTGCCCTCTTCTTCCTTCATACCACGATTCAGATTCGTAACCATCACAGACACATCTCGTGCATTTTGCTGTCATACATTCTCAGGTGGTTTTTCTACAGTTTGAAACCAAAAAAAAAACATATCCCTTTATGATACCGGGGGGAACTTGAGGACAGACCGCTCAAACTTTTAAATAAGTGTGCTCTCCGAATTATGGAGACACATGATACTGTCAGGCACCGAGACAAGAATACTACGGCATCAAAGAGGCCAGTACAGTTATGGTGCGATGCTAGTATAAGTATGTGAGGGATAGGAAATGCGATAAAAGGCTACATGTGTGTATGTGATCACGACCTCTCCAACCTTCCTGCCACCCCTTCCGCCTCTCCTTTAGCCTGTCCAAAGTCCGGATCCACAGCTGTCACACTCTTTTGTCTGGTGTCAGCAGGTGTCACCACGGCGCTGAGAGCTGGATCTATCGGGTCTGACGGAGGTCCAGACGTCGTGGTTGAAGTTGGCGTAGAAGTCGTAGCAGTTGTAGAAGTATCCGGATTAAAATTGCGGAAAGGGGACGGTGCCACCAAAGGGCGATGGAATCGAGCACGGAACTCACTCGGGTGGGGCTGAGGAGGTTCCCCAAACCCACTGCTACCAGGGTCGGCCATATCAACATTTGGAAATGGGGCAGCCGATGGTCCCGGAATAGAGCCGTCTGCAGCTTTGGCTGCAGCTTGTTGGGCGTAGTGCATGCGACGCTAGTATCGGGTGAGTTATTTCGGTAGCTAGAAAATACAGTGGCTCGTACTTGATGATCCCATTGATCAAAGGCTTCTGCTATGACAGGTTCCAAGGAAGCAAGTTCCTCGCTCGTGATCGCCAACGTCCTTAGAAGATGTTGTTTGAGAAGGGGTGCACATGAAAAAGATAGGAGTAACGTTGAAGCAAAATTTTGTCCGCCGGTAAGCTGTGGAGGTGGTGCTTGAGGGAAGGACGGGTCTTGCGGGTTCATTGGATGCGGTTGGTGCGACATCTCATGGGGAAGAACCTGCTGATACTGGCCGTCTCCGTTTACTCTGTACTCTTCCATCCCCTGCATCATATCATTGGGCATATCCAGTCCCAATTCCCGCATCTTCCGCTGCTTAACAAGACTCCGGTGTTTACGTTGCCGTTCTCGGGCAGCGGCCCTGACTCTTTCGCGCCTAGAAAGTTCCTCAGGCGTCATTTCTTGACCGGTAAAAGTCGGAGTGGGTGGCTGAGATGGCTGAGGCTGGGGAAGAGCCTGGGCATCCGTGGGTTGTGTAAATGCCATTATTGCATTGATGTTATTGACAGTACGATCACGCTCGCGTTTCCTGCGCTGCCGCTCCGCAGCCTTCTCTCGTTTTTGCCTTTGTTGGGGCGTCTCATTTTCTCGCGAACGTCTACGGGCAGATGAAACTGGTGTGAGGGTGCTCTGTGATGGATTATGATGAGCCCCTGGGTCCATAGCATGCATTGTCCGGATGTGACTGAGCCTTGGATGTGACGCTTGTTACGGCGTCTTCAGCGAAGGTGACCGTCGTCGTGACAGTGAGTGACGAAGGAGAGACCAAACAGGGTTACGCACACCAACCACACTGGACTGATGAGCGTGAGAAGAAGTTACTGATATAGTCTAATACTCTGTTCAGCCGTAACTTGCTAATTCGACGCTAATATCCTGCCGGTCTTCAACATGCTTTCACGTCCTGGTCCGACACCTATCCATTCTATAGGCGTACCCAAGAAATTCTCAATGAACCCTACGTAACTCTTGCAGTTATCCGGGAGGTCATCAAACGATGTTATCGAGCTTATCTGCGTCTTCCACCCCGGAAGCGTCACATAGACCACTGTGACTTTGGCCAGAACATCAAGATCGGCTGATGGATTGTGAATAATGCTTCGCTTTGTCCGATGGTTAACTCACCTGGGAAATATTGGAGTTCTTTGTCGTCGATCATGTACTTGACTCCGATTTTGATGTCTTCTAATTCATCCAAGACATCCAATTTCGTCAAGTTGAGCGAATCATATCCGTTTATGAGGCTCGAGTGTTTCATGACGACGAGATCCAGCCAACCGCAACGTCTCCTTCGGCCTGTGGTTGTGCCATACTCCCTTCCAACTTCTTGGAAGTGGACACCGATGTCCTGAAAATACGTGAATACTTGAGTATGTATTGTTACAAGAAGACCAACGTTAAGCTGCTCAGTTGGAAATGGTCCTCCTCCAACCCGAGTGGTATATGCCTTGATAACTCCAATGGTGTGTCCAATCGCTTTAGGAGGTATGCCAAGACCAGTGCATACACCGCCAATTGTGGTGGACGATGAGGTGACGTAGGGATACGTCCCGAAATCCAGGTCAAGCATGAGCGCATTTGCACCTTCAACGAGGACCTTCTTGCGCGCTGCCAGCGCGCCGTGAATATACTCTACGCTATCCACAACGAAAGGTTTTAGTCGCTGTGCAAGAACCTACGGCATGTTCAGTGATAATATTGAGCGGGTAAAACATGAGATACGACCTTATAGCGCGCAATCTCGCCCTCTGTATCATATTCAAAATGGCCATAACGCTTGAAACGACCCTCCACGATCTTGCGAAACTTTTGCGCAAAGGTATCATGATTAAAAAGATGATGCACTCGGAGGCCCGAACGAGAGGCTTTCCCGGAATAAGCCGGGCCTATGCCTTTCTTCGTGGTTCCGATGCTGCAGGTTTGTTAATGATAAGAATTGTAAGAATCACAACAAGGTTCATACCTGGAACCACCGAGCTCCACTTCCTTCAGGCCGTCTACAATTTGGTGGAAGTCGAACACGAGATGAGCTCTATCTGAAAGAAATATTCTATTCGAGCAGTTCAGGCCTGGGTAACCATGTCATTGCTAAAGCACATTCAACCATAATGAACCCGACCTTGCTTCTCCAAGGCATCGAGCTCTTCAAAAAAGGAAGGCACATGGACAACAACTCCAGAACCAATCAGGCCCACACACGTTGGGTTTACCAGACCTACAGAATGGATAGATCAATGGCATGCAAAGGATCATAAGAACTGATCACGAACCGCTTGGGAGAAGATGGAAAGCAAAGGTGGTCTTCACCTTCTCCGGTCCAACGGGCACGACGATTGTGTGTCCGGCATTATTGCCACCTGCGCATCGTGCGCAGATGTCGAAGTCAGCCGATAGGATATCGACCAGCTTGCCTTTGCCTTCATCTCCCCATTGCGAACCAAGAACGACGGTTACTGCGATAGAGTCGGTAATCAAAGATCGGCGGTACTGAAAAGATTGACATACCGCTCATGGACAAAGGAACTTCTGTGATACGGGTTCAGCCAGTTGGCAGGAGCTGCGATGTGGAAAAGAAATGAGATTAATGATATAATTTTCGGACATCTTCGGATAAATCTGAATCATCCGGAAAAGGCAGTCAGTTCTTGTCCAGCTACTACTGGTACCACCACTGACCAAGGCCGAACATCATATGCCGTTTTCTTCAAAGCCCATCAATCCATCACCGCTCCATTCAAGGTTGAAGCGAAATCCTGCACTGTTTGGTGTTCCCTTTCTTCTCATCATAATTGGGGCCTCGTTTGGTCTTCAGACTTTCACGCAAACTCGATATGACCTACAGGACCAGAAAGTCAAGCAGGTTTGACTTCACCGTGCGGAATCTTGTCGTGTACTTAATTTCTCATAGATGAGCAACGAGCAAGCTCTAGGTCTTGATCGCAAGAAGAAAAAGTTTGACATTAGGGAGGAATACTATGTGAGTTTTCGTGAAGCACATCTCTCAAGATCTTACAAGTGTGAACGTATCAGAAACTAAGTGCTGCTGGAGAGCAAGACTGGGAACCCAAAAGAATTGCAAGACCCAATGATTTCCCAGAAATGGATGTTCCCCCCACTGAGCCTCCAGTCAAACCTTGAGTCTCAGAATACCGGCTGTGAATCGGTACACTCTTAGCCACTCAGTGTTCCGTGCTCCAGGCGACCTTCGTTTCGACTTGTATGATAGGCGATACCTCAGTTCTCGTAGCAGTGGAAATCCGGGATATCACTTACTGCTGGGCATCAACTCTCCTGCATATAACGATACGCAGATCAGGGGCGAGTGTATCTAGTCCTTTCTACTCTGTCATACTCATACTCTATTTCTACTCTATTACTCCGGGATGACATAACGACGACATCAAGGTGGTTTTATTTTTTGCATCTCCATTTTATTGCGAACACACTCAGGCTACCGTCTGACGTGCCAGCCATTTTGGCTAAAACTAAAGCTGTGTACAGCGAAGTATTTACAAGCATCGCCAAACTTATTGCGAAGGATCCTGCAACATCCGTTGTGTATGCCGACTCGCTTGCATCAGTGGAAGGTTTGGTAGAGGTTACATTGAAAACGACAAGTGGTCTCATTTAGCCACAACGGGAACTGTGTACGTCCTACGACAAAGGGTAGGCATGAGAACAACAGGCAGCCTAGTTTGGGATGAGGACACACAGCTCCTCATTCGTCCAGAATCGCATTAGTTGCGGGAGATCTTGCAGATCGCCTACTATGAGTTGCATCCTTGCTCCTTTCCGTTTTTGCTGGGCTTGGTCGAGGGTCGGCACACAAATGACGCACGAAGATCGCAGGTTGATGTCAACACGGACTTGCCCATTGGGGTAGAAGTCGAGCTTGGGTTCAAGTATGAACGCTATGGGTTCTCGGAGCTTAGCACTCTTCGCGGCGAACACAGAACCATGGTGACGGTCCCCATCAATCTCTGAACATAACTATGGAGAGGATACACACACTTACGAGCGCAAGAACCTCTTCTTTTTTTCCTTTACCACTTCCTCGAGCTCCGTAAGTTTCTTTTAATTATTTGTAGGATATCCGCGGCCTCCCGAGCCTCGGACGCTATCTCTCAAAGGAGTGCCAACATTCCTCCATTATTCGTGCATTTAATGCTGACAGATTTTTCACTAAAGAGATGAAAGTTTGTGATGATGCATTGTATTCACTGCTTCTGCTTAGCTTCAAGTGGAGATATTGGGTGGTTACTTCCAATCTTCCTGTTCTTATCTCTGGGCGGCAACGCCCTCAAATGTAGGAAGCAGAAGGGAGAACTTTGACTCACAGACCAAGATAAAGAACTTTTTGTTTAGTTGCTTTCATTTGTCATTCTTCGCTGGATGACCTCGTCAGATTTCCCTCGATGAGCGAAGTATACCAAATATCGTGCACCCGCGCCTCCTTTTGGAATGTTCAATGAACACTCAATACCTCTGAATAATTGCGTGCAACGATCGGAGGTTATGGCTTATTGTAAGTTATTGAAATGATATTTGGCGCAGAGTAGCTCTGAAGTCGGGCCGTAGCCTATCTGACTCGGACGTTCTCCTCGTGCGGGCCCGAAAGTCCTGGGTGATAAACACAATTAATACAAATCCGAGAGGAGATATGATATTGCGCCAGGCTGCAGGACTTTACCTGACAAATCATGATACCGGTAGAAGAGACAAAATTTGAAGCTTGGTTACGCTCACTGCCGCACAGTTGTGCGGCGGACCTTTCAATACGCGGTGTGGGTGCTTTATGTAATTAGGCGCCACGGTGTTCGTACACGGTACACCCACCTGTGACTCCCACATAAGGGCTGTAGTTACAGGTGATAATAAATAGGGTTCGCACCTCTAACACGAGGCAAATACAGCCAATCAGCGCCTCTTGCAATATCTTTCCAATAATGGGGGACTTTTACATAGCGCTGTAGATCCATAGGCTCTTACCGGGACTGGGTGCCACCGGCATAACGGCAAATGCCGTGACGTTGCTAACGTCGTTTAAGGTCCGAGCTCGCTGTGCGACATGATGAGCTCGCGCATCTCGATATCTCGCGCCCAGATGAACGTATTGACGACGGGTTTCGACGGCCTGTGCACAGGCAATGACTAAGATGCGCGACTGAGTTGTATTGATCTGTAGACTAGACTAAGGTAATACAAACTACTACTAGTCGTCGTCACCCCCTTCATCAGACGACTGGACAAACTCAGCACTTTTGGACCTCGAGGAAGCTGGGCAGAATTCCTTTTTGCTCTTTTCAACGTCCGTTGGTTCTCCTTACTAGGACCTGCGCTAGTTGCAGCTTTACGTTTCCGAGGTACCCCAGCGTCCGAACGCTTTTTTCGCGGCTTGCGAACGACATCTCCAGCTGAACAGCGCGCTTCGAGTTCGGCAGTGTGAGCTTTGATTTCCGCCAGTGAGAGAACAGTCCAGTAGCACGTTCGCGCCTTCAGTGCATCTCACAGCTTGCGAATGTCGCCCACAGTCCCGATGTTCGAGGGGCTAATGAAATTAACACTGTGGGGCCACCCCACCAGGCATACACTGTATGTCTCGATGATGGCTGTTTCATAGTTATGGTAATTCATACTGATATCTTTTTTTCTGGTCACCTCGACTACGAACGACGTCAATCGAGGACAGCACGTACAAAACAAGATCTCACTCACCAAGACCACGGATGATCATTTTACGTACCTGCTTCCGTACCATTTCCAAAGAGTCCCGTTCGTTAAGATCTGTAGGATATTGAATAGGCTGGTAGTATACAAAAATGTGAAATGCGCACTTTGATTCTGGGTGCACGCCCATTGCTCATATTGCCTGAGGAAATCAGCCATAGGATGCTCGTATACGTCCTCCCAGAAGTCTTCTGAGTTATCGGTCCCATGCATCGCACTTTGAACTGTGTCGTTAATGTGACCGCGAACGACAAATAATGTTGCATAGACACCAGTCCGAACTCGCAGGTCGTCCAGCTTTGAAAGAGTAAAGTATGAGTTTCATTCATTGTAGTCCAGGTTCGGGCAAACTCACCTCTTTGACAATCCTATCTGTCGTAGCTACAACATCACGCGCAGCTGCTATATTGTTCGACCGAACACCAACCGACTTTTTTTCACGATGCTCGTCGAGTGCTGAAATGTAGGCGGCCTCTTGTTCCCTCGTCAAGTCTTTCATCTTGGGGTCACTTGCGACCATTTCGCGGAGCTCCGCCAACGAATATCGAGACCCTACAGGTAGGTCTAATTGACATGATATAAGCTTTGCGGTATCATCAAACAAATGTATTTTATGTACCTGCGTTCATCTCCTTTGACTTAGCGTGAACAAGCGCGTTTTTCACCTGCATCTTGCGAGAATTGCGATAGTGTGTCTGACCCCCGATGATGTCATTGATTACCTTTGGAGTCACACTATGAGCTCGTGAGAGCGCTTCGATCTTCACTCGTTGTTCCTCCAGGTATTCAGCGACAGTGTTATGTAAGCGCTTCCTTTTCTCCGTCGTTTGGTCCCTCTTGATCTTATGAGACGCCTTCTGGGCATCTGTCAGTCGAGGGGGCGGCATCCGAGGACGGATGGTGGCTCGCGTTGGGTTTCGTGCTGCCCATGTGGACGTGTTTGCTTCGCATTGGAGTAACTCTGGCACCTCTCGACTGGTGTCCGACACCTCTGACTGGGTGGGACTTACCGGGCCTTGATCATGGATTTCAGAGGGCTTAGGTGAGGGCGTGCGAGCAGAGGAGGTGCTCGCGCCAGCAACATGTGTGGGGGGAGGCAACTCTGGAAGGGGGTGGTTTGTGGCCGCTATGTCGCGAGTGAGAGCTGCAATTTCATCATGGGTAAGCGGCATGGTGTACAATGAGGGATCGTTCCAGTCGATATTGTTAATCAAGGGAATATGTCTACCACCTTCACCGGGTGGCGTATCTTCACCTCTAGCTAGTGGATCCAAAAACCGGCCGGTTGAGATAAAGTTGCCGTTGGCATCAAAATTGTCAGCTGAATATAGGTAGCTCATATTTGAAACTGTAAGCAGAAACTCTGTAAGTGTAGATGCGAAGTTTAAACCAACAAAAAATGTGCGCATTGACATGTGATGGACTCCATGGCAAATAAACAACACGTGTCGCGTCGCAAAAATCCTATCATTGCCAGCCGGTTTCTGGGGGAGAAGATCCAGTGGAATCAGTGTAAGATCTTGAGGTTGATATTCATTTGAAACCGTGGCTAAGGTCACATGTGCATCTCAGAGGCAGTGCAGATCGGTACTGATCAGACCTACCACAAGCTGAAGGATCTATCGTCCTATGGAGGATGCAAACAGACCTTCCATGAGCCGAAGGGTCTACCGTCCTATGGAGGATGCGGACAGATGAAGGGTCTATCATCCTATGGAGGATGCGGACAGACCTTCCATGAGCCGAAGGGTCTATCGTCCTATGTGGGATGCGGACAGACCTTCCATAAGCCGAAGGGTCTATCGTCCTATAGAGGATGTGGCCAGACCTTCCAAGAACCGAAGGGTCTATCGTCCTATGGAGGATACGGACAGACCTTCCATGAGCTGAAGGGTATATCGTCCTATGTGGGATGCGGACAGACCTTCCATAAGCCGAAGGGTCTATTGTCCTATAGCAGATGTAGACTCACCTTCCCAGTTGAATGGAATGCGTTGCGCGCCATGTAGAGGCAGTGGGTGCCTTCTGGGTTGAAATGGAACGTGCCATGCAGGCAGTGGAGGCAGAGGTATCCTCCTCGGTTGAAATGGAATGTGCTGTGTGCTTGGTGGAGGTAGGATTCTCCTCCCTGGTTGAAATGGAACACACCGCATGCCAAGTAGAGGCAGTGGGTGCCTCCTGGGTTGAAATGGAACGCGCTGTGCGCTCCACCACTCGACTGTTTCACTGAGGTGCCAGGGCCTGGGCTTCCTGCGACATTGAAGGACTGACATGTACTTATACGACGTACTCTGGGGCTGGTGAGAATGGAGGGGAGGGACCAGGAAGATTACCATCTTGCTTGCAGGCAATCAGAACTGTTGAGTGCGGTAGTATACTTGGACCTATAACAGTCTACAACGGTTCCCTAATTTAGATGAATTAGTAATCAAGATGACTGCACAAGCGGCAATCCTACAGAATCCTACTCCGTGCCTTTCAATCAGATCTCGCAGCGTTGTCAACAATATTGCCTGGATATCAACCCTCATTTTATTGATGATCTTGACCATATACCTAGGGATGACCCCAGGTCATCTCTCCTTCCTTCATTTTTTTGACGACATGGTAAGTTCAAACTCACGTTAAAGGCTGGACTATCTAACATATTTTCCAAGGCTCGCTGAGGCAAGAGCAGATCCTGCAGTCCCGCGTCGAAGCAGCGGATAGCCACAGAGCACTGGCTCGAGAAGCCAGGGTGAGTTCAACGTCCTTAGTCACTGGTGAATTCTGCTTACCTGCCCTCACTGCAGAGTGCGAGAAACTCGAAACGAGAAGGCTCACATTCGAGCTGCTCGGTGAGTTCATACCTATCCTCAGTCTTATGTGCGCTATATAATTTATTTTAGGAATAGGGCAAGGTGAGAATGCCTAACTATAGGAGTGTGCTAGACTCACTAACCGACTTTTGCACAGGAAAAAAAGGGTTCTACCTTGCGATGCGCATGACACGCCTGTCACTGCCTCGGACCATGAAGACTATCATTCTCAGTATGATGCCACCGAAGCCGTGCTCACCTTGGACCGTAACGATTCCGAGTGTGATGACGATCTACCTTATTTCACAGACACCAACCTGCCTTCTCCTCGCAACTCTCCCTCGCTGCAAGCGATTGATGAAGAATACGATCGTTCATTCGATCCTGACGAATCTATCCTCACAATGGACAACAATTTATCATGTGCCTGTGACTCTCCGTCACTGCAAACACTTGAGATCCTCGTCGGGCAGTGGCGAAAGGAGTGGGTGTCTGAAGAAATGTGGAATGAGGCATACGATGAAGCACTTCGTCGCGCCCTGAGCAAGGGGGAGCACGCTGTATTTGTTGAGCAGTGTGCACAGCATGCTTCAGAGGGTAGATCACTGCTGGAAAGTATCAAGGACGTCGTGCACACTCATTGCCCGTGTTGCAGGGAACGCCTGAAGTACGATACAATATTACTATATGATTTGCTGGTTAGTGTCACATCAGAGGTGAAATTTTCGAAGTCAAATTAGTTGTAGACACCGTCTGTAACTAGTAGTATACATATTGTGAATGTAGCTCTGAGCATCTCATCATCAGACACAGTGTGAATGCCTAGTCACGTAGCGAACGTATAGTGAACAATAGCGACCGTATATGGAACAATAGCGAACTTATGGTGAACTTATGGTGAACTTATGGTGAACTTATAGCAAACTTATAGTGAACTTATAGCAAACTTATAGCAAACTTTCATTCTCGGATGCTCGGGACTGTGAATAACACCCTATAGCCAAAATTTGAAGACGCAGAATGCTTCAGCCACTTGAACACGATATACATTATCAAGCCGAAGCTGGAAAAATGTGTGTTGAGTAGTGTAGAGCATTTATGATGTTTAGGATACTCATTTGCAAATGTGATGCACTTGCCAATCGGAATACCCCTCTAAGGGCAGCAGCAACAACAACTTACTTCTGATCCATTCTCAATCACGCTGGTTCCTTCTCACTCTCACTTCCCAGTACCGCAGGTTCCTTCTCACTCTCATATGGCCACCACACATAATATTTATCAGCCGCATCATAACAGTACGAGCCATCTACTCCTGATCCGTTCCCAGTACCGCAGGTTCCTTCTCACTCTCACTTCCCAGTACTGCAAGTTCCTTCTCACTCTCACATGGCCAACACATAATCTTTATCAGCCGCATCTCATAGTATGAGTAAGGCAAATTCAATTTCTGTACTCTAATTATAAGTACCATTCGCAAACTAGACTACGTAGATTCAAATTTATATTGACTCATGGTGTCCAACAGGTCTTCTACTTGCGACCACAAATCATCCGAGTCTATAGACAATGTGGGAGATGTAGGGGGAGGGGGAGATGCTGGGGACACAGGCGAGTTCATAGGCCAGAATGGGCCACCCGGAATCAGAACTGCATGGACGCTGCGTTCGTTATACTTGACGGTGTATGCGTGAAGAGCTTGCTGGAAAGATGGGTATCGTTTCTGAATACTCCCACTAACAAAATGTGTTCGTTCCGCAACATCAGCCCTAAGATAAACATTGTGATTATAAGTGAGATATAAGTAAAAGAGAGCGTGTAACACTGACCAACAGTAAAATACACCGACTTCTTGCCCAACGATGATGACCCAGAAGCCCTCAGGCTTGAGCCCAGCTTGTGGTGGGCGGATCTCATCTGGGGTTGGAGCAAGCGGAACATGGGAGGGGATTGACACCGGATGCGAGGGTGTTTGAGCTGTCGAAGTGGTAGGAAGAGGCACGATCCGTCCATCGGGAATGGTGTTGTGCGCGGATTGCGCGCACGAGTTTCTTGAGAGTGTGATAGACTCTTCTGTAGTCTTGCGCTTCCAAGTAACAGTACCGACCGATGAATCTATGATAAGTGATGTGAGTAGACAGTATTTTGCGGATGTTGAAAGAAATACATACCTGCTAGGCTCATACGATCGAGCAAATTCTGTAGATCTTGAATGTGATCACCTGCTTGGGAGTCAGATCGAGTTGATGGATGGCTGGACATAGCAGACGTGATGATGTATAGGGACCCTTTGCGACACTACCGATCATCAGTCACGTGAAATGAAAAGATATTCCTTACTAACATGAAGAATTTGTAGATAATGCGAAATACCATAGGACACCAGCGAATTCGAAGTAAGCTCTCCCTGCGATCTATCCGGCACATTGGACCGTCGAAGAATAAAGATGGGCTGCTGGTCAACAGCAGTGTGTCGAAGGTGCTCAAGCACCGGGACTTGGTGGAGCAGGCAGCAAGGTCCAACGAGCGACGGAAAGCACGTCTGCAAGGTATCTAATGTTAATTGAAATACTCGACAAAAAAAACTCACCTCTTGTAAAGCCATGAGTTCGGATGAGCGTCGTGCTCTCGAAGCACTCAAAGAGGACAAAAACGCCACCATTGACGATTGGCAGGAAGGCTGCGATGATAGCTTTGGCGATGTCTGGAATGGGACTGAATCAATTGCCATCAGTCACGCTGGTGGCGAATTCACTGACCTTGCAAGAGAGGTGTTGGGAGATTTCTGGAAAATGTAAGTGTCAGTGAGTGTTGACTATTGATATGTGAGTCACATACCTTCGTGAACAGAAACAATCGTGTTCGACGCGTGGATAACCGCACTCGTCGTGATCGCGTCCTCCGCAGAAACCAGGCATATACAGAGCAGATGCCTGCGATGATCGACGCTTACCTTGCCTGGAGCCTGGCAAAATCCAAGGAAGAGTTCAAGAGTTTTTTTGAGAGATTGCGGAATGAGGAGCTGGAGAACAACTCGGACTATGGTGAATGGTCAATTAGTGTTATTGATATGTTCTGTGAGTGATCTTGTTGTTGTTTGCTTACTTTTAATATTGATGTTGGCGTGACTCATTGTATTAGACGCTTCGAAAGTGACTCTTCGAATCTTACCAATCGACGCCACCATCTGCTCTGCAATGGTGCGTCAAGGTGTCATGCCCTGTTCGCTGATATCGCCAACTGTAGGAATCACTACAGAAGCTCTTGACTTATACCGTGTCGCGCATCTTAGAAGTCCTCATTTGTCTATTCAAGCTTTCGTGAAAACCGTGTGCGACTTGCATGGGGTAACTATCTTAATTTGTCTAGTTATTGTGCTAATCATATGCAGGTGGAATTTCATAGACATCTCTCGCGTCAATTTTCTATCGTGTTCGACTCGTATCTTCAAATTCGACACTCTGTGGCAGCTCTTGTAGCCGAATCACTTCAGCGCAACTCACCTGACTGGCACCTTAAACATGCATGCCCTACATGTACATATGAACTCACTGACGAAGAAGCACTAACGTTTAGATTGCTATATTCTATGGACGGTAACGACTCTCTAAAACAAGTCCTGCGTGTTACAAGTAACATCGGCTACATGGCCCCCCTATCATTTTTCCCCTTCGTCCTCGCCCTCGTATGCCTCCAGCTCGTACTTCTCTACCGACTATCCGTTGACCGGATCCTCGGGACCGTTCCCGTCCCTCGTCCCCCTCCTATTGCACCAACGTGCGCACGTGCCTTCTGGCTATGACTCGTTCTGACTCATGCCACCAATGTGGCTTTCCTTATCTTGTCTTATCTTTCCTTTGACTCGTGCATGCCGCACATTGTATCATTTACCATTGGCTCGTTCCAACGTTTCTCGGTCTCATTCCGCATTCGACCTTACATCACTAATCAGGCTCTGCTACCAGCGTACCTATACCCTTTCCGTTTCCCCTTTGCCCTTACCTACAGTACGGTAGCCTTGCCCTTAACCCTTTCCACTTAGTATAAGTAGTCGGTCACTCTGTACTAGATTCCCTAACTTGAATCTACTCAATCTTCCCTCGAACATACTTTCCTCTGAAGCCCCCTCAGCTTCAGTCTCTAGTATCTTTTCTTAGGTGCTCATCGCGCCTAAGTCTACCTCGATCGACCACCTCATCGTTCGGACAAGACTGTCCTTACTTTGAGAACGTCAGTGACTTTGAAGACATCCGTCTTAGAAGTCACATGACACGCGCGTCTCTGATATCTGCTGACTTGTCGTCGCCAGTCTCAGTCGCTACACCGGACCCTTCCGGTTACGTCACAAACGTTAGCGGACGACGCCCCTCTTAGGGCTCCGCATAACAGATCTATTTGAGTGCGTAACACTGCGGAGGTCTTTAGACTGACGACTCTCTCGCTCCCTCGTCTGAAGTTCCTACCGGCCAACAATTCACAAGTGACCGGTACCTACCTCGTGCATTTGTAGACCGGTATTCTTGAGAGTCCGAAACGACAACTACTGTAGGTGACAAGGAAGATGCAGCCGCTGAAGACTCTTGCGCAGGACGATGGAAAAATATGGACGACGCTAAAACAAAGAAAGCGTGGGGGATATATGACGAAACAGGTATATTCATGGCTGTTTGCTGTCACGGATTTGTGTTACTTGTCGCGGACATGGTACAGAGCGGTGAACTGTAAGTAGTGCCTATCGTTTTCTCAGCTATTAACGAGTGTTTGAATAGTGCAAAGTATCCCCTTGCTGTCGTTGCAAAGTTGCTGGATGTATTCGGGAAACGATTAGGGAGTGGGTATGACATTGGTTGCCAGTTTAAGACGACACTCGACAACAGCTTACTTGGACCGCTCGCTCGCTCGCTTCAACACACCTGCCTGGTTGGCGCCTTCCACGGACATGCTCACAGGCGCTTGTGCCAGCTGTTCTCACTCACAATGTACATCAAGGGTCTGGGCCTCGAGGATCTCGAAATGTGTGAATGAACGTTCTCGAAATTGAATTCGCTGGCATCTGCGCTACGCTATGCGAGTGTGTTCCATCGGCAGCAGGCTATCGACTGTTATTTCGAGCACAACAACGATTTTGAGGTCTACGCTAATCTTTGTAAGTATAGCTAGTACATAAATCGAACGTTAGCTGACATAATTATCGTATTAGCCAATTTTTTGTACTGCAACTACAAACAAGCACTGGACATCTTGAACGATGGCGACACAACTCTACCCAAGCTCATGCAAGATCTGGGACTCACGGACGAGAGCATTTTTGAGCGCTGGCTAGAGGAAGAGAAGACCTACCTCCAAGGTCTAACGCGAGAACCCGAAGATGAGACCTTGCAGATGGAGTATTGGCAGAAGTTGGTAAATTTCACCGCAAGCGAGTGAGTGTAGCTTCCAAGGTATACGAGTCTTGTGTTAACTGACGCTTCATTCGCTTAGAGAGGCTCTTAATGCTGCGATGGAAGCCTTTCAGGTCTATTCTCACCATGAGGCCGTGTCATATGACGTTCAGATGCGAGATACTCGCAAAGCAGAGACTGCACGACGTCACACTGTTGAGGACCACGAGAGGAATTCGAAACTTGTTCAAGCACTCGAACACAAACTCGAGATCACAATGTGCTGGACCCCTGAGGATGCAGATTGGCAGAGGGTGGGGAGGCTCGTTGCTCATAGGAAGTACCAACGTGCATTGGATCGCCTCAAAGGACTTATCATTGCGCGCATATTTGAACTGACGAGGATGAACCGGGCAGCTACAGGTGAGTTTGTTTAGATGATGTCTTGCTTGCGTGTCAATTCTAATATCACTCAAGGCTACAAGCTACGTAAACACATCGCCAAGGCATTACAAACACGCTCCATCGCCATCCGAACTGCCCTCAACACATACAATGCCATCGCCGAGGCAATGCACCCTCCCCGCAAAACGCTTAAGTGGGACGAGGTCGTGGAGTACACGTTTCTAGCTGACTTTGACCTCTTACGCGACACGCGTGCAGACGTGTCGCAACGGCCTTGGGCATCGCCTGTTGCTCGCAGGGCGATGGACCTGTATTTCAAGATGTGCCGGGCACGGGAGGAAATTCAATGGTTGAACGTGGAGGTACGGCGCCTAGTGACGTACATCCAAGACGAAGAAAAATACCTGCGGGCGTGCGAGGGTCAGTTGAAGGCTGTCAGTCCAACTCTTGCCCATCAAGTCGCTATACATTGAAACGTCCAAGGACGGTTCAACTCACGCCACCTAAAGCGGGCCCATGAGATATCGACACTTCCTGGCTTCACCAGGACAATATCCCCAGGTATAAGCACTCATACAGGTCTCGGAGAAAGCTCCAGCGCGCCGAATGCGCAGATCCCATCACAATTGCTGGTAGAACACTTACCTTTTGATAACATTAGACGACCTGCAGTGGCGCCGGATACTCCGGATGAGTTAGATGAGGAGGAGCAGGAAGAGGAGGTGGAAGAGGAGGCATCCAGAAGTTTGCAGGATGTGCTCCGTGTTGCTGATGATCTCTCGCGACTGGAACTTCATGATCACGCCGATGAGCAGTAGTATAGCTTAATTTACACATTCTATGGACACATAAGTCAGATCTACGTATGTTAATGGTCACTCGCGCATGGGCCGTCAAAACCCGCTGTCAATACATTCATCTGGGCGCGAGATATCGAGATGCGCGAGCTCATCGTGTCGCACAGCGAGCTCGGACCTTAAACGACGTTAGCAACACGTCACGGCATTTGCCGTTATGCCGGCGGCACCCAGTCCCGGTAAGAGCCTATGGATCTACAGCGCTATGTAAAAGTCCCTCATTATTGGAAAGATATTGCAGGAGGCGCTGATTGGCTGTATTTGCCTCGTGTTAGAGGTGCGAACCCTATTTATTATCACCTGTAACTACAGCCCTTATGTGGGAGTCACAGGTGGGTACACCTGGCAAATAGATGCGTTTTAGACGTAAACGAGCTATACATGGTGCATCTGTCATCTGATCCCAAACCATCGTGAGGCGGATCACGCCTGGTCAGAGTTTGTCGCCACAAAGATGGATGAGGCACAGTCCGACAGATAGTAGTACTAGGGGGCAGAATTATTTACAGGTAATTGTGCCTGCATAACTGGCAGAATCCCAACTTCTGCCACTTGGCAAAATTTTCAAAGCGTTACAAGGCTAAGTACGTGTATGATAGTGTATGGTATGATCTCGTAC